TTTTATGTGTTGTTGGGACAACAACACACACACACAAAACACATTTATAATTTTTTTTATTTCGGTAATTCCACTCATTGCCGGAAACTCACACAAAACGCGCGCAGTAACAGCGATGTAAACGTCATGTTAACGTTGGCGGCGTCAGTCGCACAATGGACGAGGTCGAAGAGCCAGTAGAACAGAGGCAGCAGTGCACAGGTAAAAACACATTCGTGTCTTGGAAATTATTCTCCCGACGTGAAATATAAAAGAAAATAACAAATATAATATCGCCTGAAAAACAACCTGCATAGACTCATGATGTCTGCACTACTGTCCTATAGTGACCTGCCACATGAGAGGACACAAACACACACAAACACAAACACACAACACACACACACACAAACAAACACACACCTTCATCATCGTCATTAACCTGAGAAAGCGCGGACCACGTTTCCTTCCGTAGTTACTGCGTGGACACTGACGTGCTCCCGTGAGCCGCGTGTGGATCGTGTTTTCTCGCGTACGCTGCGTAAACCGCGCTTCCTCCTGTGCGCCTCTAAACCAGAACTAACACCAAGACTAAAACCAGGACTAAACCAGGTCTAAACCAGGACTAAACCAGGACTAAACCAGGACTAAACCAGAACTAAAACCAGGACTAAACCAGGACTAACACCAAGACTAAAACCAGGATTAATCCATTCCAGGACTAAACTAGGACTAAAGCAGGTCTAAACCAGGTCTAAACCAGGACTAAAACCAGTGATCTCATATATAAAACCATTTCTCTATCAATAATATTTTTAATATGGTTAAGGAAAGACTGGACTTTTTATTGTCTTTAAGTAGACAAAAGTTATTATGTTCAGATTTCCTCGTCTTTGCTACTTTACAGCAAACAGTTTCTTATTCATGGAGACTTGGGCTCAACAGCCAATTTGGAGAGAGATTTGTTAAACAATAAATGACTTTATAAAGTCACTTTTTTAAAATCTATATCAGTCTTTTGATCTGCCACAATAATGTAATAATGAATTTAAATGAAAATACCTCAAATTGAAGGCTTTTCTCAGCAATTTTTAGGTGAGATTAAAATGAGATTAATTAGATTAATTAATTACAGATCATAATTAATTAATCTCTCTTTTTTTTTAATCGCATGACAGCACAAATATATATATATATATATATATATATATATATATATATATATATATATATAATATATATATATATATATATATATAAATAACACAATTTTAGCACCCTCAAAATTTTCCTTTTGAAGCTTTTTAGGGGGTGTGATGGGTTAATCGGGGGTGTCGGACCCTGCACCCCTTGTATTTCACACACTGTCATCATCATAGCAAAAGGTATACATTGGTCGCACTTACAACACATCAGCTCCTAAAACTGTGTTTATATCACTTTACAAAACCAGAGTTTTCCAGAATCTCCACTCTAGCCGGAGTTTTTAGAAAGATTCGTTTTTAGAGGCGAATTTGCTGTTTGTGTGTAAAAGATGGGAACAAATGAAGGGAAATGTCTCCATTTTTAAAAATACACGTGTACGTGTAAACGGGGCCTGAGACTAGTGTCATACCTTCAACAACGACTCTGGTCCCATTTCCAAACAGGACTTGTCCACAGGCGGCCACAGCGCAGTAGTAGGTCCCAGTCTGCTCTGAGTTCACATTGTGTATGGGGAGGCTGTACACACAGGAGTTGGTTGAAGTGTTGGTGTTGTTGTCACACTGATCACTGCTGCCTCCATGACTGTACAGGACTCCTGCTGCAGACTCTTCAGACTGTTTGAACCAGTGAACCCTGTATTGTCCTGCACATGTTCCAAAATGAACTTTACAGTTCAGAACCAAAGAGCGTCCTGGTTTGACTGTCTCCAACGCCATTTGATCAAGCTGAAGTCCTGAATTGAAATTCTTAACAGTCACATGAACAGTCGCCAAGAACTCTATATGATGACCCACAGAATTTATACAATGGTACACAGCCGAGTCCGAGATTTGTACATTTGTAATTTCCAAGTTATTGTTCCTGTCTTTGTTATCCAGTTTGAAGCGATCGTTGTTTTTAAAGTCATTGTAAAACTCACTCTTGTCAAAGTACGATGAAGTCATCCTCAGGGTGTTCTCCAGATTTTGCTTGTACCAGTAAAAATTTCCACTATGTTCTTTTTTATAGGAACAATGCAAAGTCACATTCTGTCCAACTGTGGCTGACAGGAAAGTAGTTTTGACCGTCTGAACTTTCACTGAAGGCTGAGAATCTCTGCTCTTCACTTCAAAAAAGAGACTGGGGTTAGATCTGGGTTTAGATAAGATTAAGAACACAGTAACACTGTGGAAACTCACCTGCTTTCATCCAGATGTAGTAAGAGAAGGACGGAAAGGAGAATCTGCAAAGACGCCATCCTCTTCATATTCTAGTCTTCAGTGAAAGATAAGGATGGTGTCTCGACTATTTTATGAAACAAGGTTGAATCTGATTGGCCAACCAGAAGTGACACCCCACTGATCTTTTGGTGTTGATGAAATGTGCAGTAATGCATCATTTTAGAGTTTTAATTTCAATATCACTTATAATTAAAAAAGACATATTGTGCTTGTGTTTGCTATACAGTTATCTCTCTTTTTAATCTCACCAGTAGATCATTAGGTTATATGTTGGACTTTTGAAATTGCAATATTAATCTTAAAGGCTTAATAAAAGAAACATTATTCAAACATCCTCTTTAAATACAACGTTATATGGTTAAAAGCGCTGAAAAGTCTGACTCTTCTGAAATATCAATGCCTTTCAAAAAACTAGTTTTAGAGTGTAGTTATTGTAGATTTTAGTTTTTTATGTGGTTTTATTAATATACAAAAAGTCTTTAGCAAATAATGTTATACTCAGTGTGTTAAGAAATGATCACAAATGGACTGCTTTGATGCACTGAGCGCACTGTTATTAGTGTGACAGGGAAGAGGAGGGGTTGAAGAGGTGATAGTGGAGGAGGTTGATGTATTTTGAGTTTCTTTCCAGCACAAGCCACTTTGTTCTATAATTGCCACAATCATCATATCCACATTTATTCTATAACCAATTTTGTTTTCTGTGTAAGTGTGTAAACAGACCTGCTGGTCAAAATATGAGTTATTTTCAAAGTTAAAGAAATTGAAAGTTAAAGCATTGCAAAAAAAAGATATACTTTATAAATCAGACTTGGAGAGACTTATCCATGTGTTTGTCTCCAGTAGGTTAGATACTGTAACAGTCTGCTCACTGTGAGACGCTGCAGAACATCCAGAACTCTGCAGCTCGGGTCCTGATTCGAACCAAGAAGTACGAGCTCATGTGTCCTGTGCTCAGGTCTCTGCACTGCCCCCTGTCGCACAGTGATTTTAAAGCAGCTCTGCTTGTACAAGTGTCTCCATGGCCGAGCACCAAAGTCCATCTGTGACATGTTAGTGTCATATGAACATCTCACACTCTGAGGAGCTCAGGGACCGGCCTCCTGCTGGTGCCCAGAGTCACGACTAAACAAGGGGAGTCAGAGTTTCAGGTTCATGCAGCTAAAACCTGGAACAGTCTGAACATGTGAGACAGACTCTTCTGTGACTCTGTTTAAATCCAGGATCAAAACGGTTCTGTTTAACTGTGCATATGAAAGATATTTATTCTGCACTTTTCGCTCTTCTCTTTTAACGTTAATTTTATGATGATTATTTATGTTTTGATTTGTTTGTATTGTGGTTTTAATGTTTTTCTTATTCTGTAAAGCACTTTGAATGGCTTTGTGTACAAATTGTGTTACAAAAATAAACTTGCCTTGCCTAAAGTGAAGTTAGATTTTGTAAAGTCAATTGCATGATTAGATTGGAACAGAAAGTGTGTACCTTTATGAACCTTTTTTTTTTTTTTTTTTTTTTAAATAAATAAATAATAAATGAATAAATAAATAAATAAATAAATAAATAAGAACAGCAAATATACTGCGCAGAACCCTTAAGCTCCCAGGCCTTTGGTAGAGGTCCCGAGCTGGATAAAGATCAGAGACCACCCGAGGATGGTGACTTTGCCTAGGCATTCTATAGAATGTACAGAAAGTATAATTCTGTTTATATCGTCTCATTTAGAATGAGGCAAGATGAAAATAATTACAACTGTATTTATTTGTTCAACAGTTTATTTTGTTCAACAGTTTCTTTTGTACAGCAGTGATGGATTGTGATAATATAATAATAATACTACATACAAAAAAATATATATATATACTATTCTATTCTCAGCTGGAGCCAAAGTATGACATAATTTGTGTTCAGTGATCACCTGAAGAACAGATTTTATTCTAATGTTTTTTTTTTTATAAAATTTTAACAAAAAATAAACAATAAACAACTATTTTAAATGTCAAAGTTGTTTCTCTGTTAAAAAGGATGGAAAATAATTCTAATCTCAAAATTGTATTTAAGCCTCACAACAAAATGTAATTTATGATGAAATAAATAATAAATAATAAAGGATCTGACCAGTAAAACCTAAAAATCTGGATTTTCCCTTTGTCAAAGATGCTTAATCTCTTTCGCAATCTCCTGTGAAGTAAACAAATTTATTCCAGACTTTTGAATTTTTTGTTTACACATTTTTCATGAGTCTATACAGTGGTAAGCGCTAATGTATATATATATATGGTAAATATATATATATATATATATATATATATATATATATATATATATATATATATATATATATATATAGACATATAATGAAATCCAAAATGTCTCATTTCTGTAAAGATACAGTAATGAAAGAACATTCTGAATTTTGCTGGTCAATAATAATGAAAAATCCAACAACAAATCTCTAACAGTAGAATGTCTAGGCAAAATTGATATTTCCTACTTTGCTTAAAAATACATTATTAAACTCAACTGTTCCTTTAACATTTTTACAGAGATAGCTTTGTGTCAGCTAATTTAACAAAATGTAACGAGTATCCTGTCGCTGTCGCTGAATGTTATACTAAAATACCAGACAGTGTACAGAAAAAAAAATAAAAAATCTATTGGATCAAAACAAATAAAGAGTCATTTTATTTAAACTCCTTTATCATGAAACATACATAGTTTTGGGCATGTATCATTCCCGAGTCTTATCACTAGTGTTAACAAGGGGCATGTTCAGGTCGGACTGCACTTGTCCACTGGGGGCTGGAGTGGGACACTACATACTGTATATACTGATGTATCTGAACCATCTGTGACCACTGTGGCATTTACAAGCACTGCCCACGTGGGTGAAGTCTGCAGACTCTGCCTCATTACCAGACAAACAGAGAGGTGTGAGGGAAAAAAGGAAAATCTGAAAAAAGTCAGTACAATGTAAATATGAACCAATAGCAGGATTATACATTTTTGGATGAGCCGACACAGAAGTGGCTGGGTTTATGCTCCCAAACAGGTGGATGTCTTGTGGATTATGGAATATGTTTCTGATTTTACCTCTTTGTGCAGAGTTGCATTAAACCACAAACACACGGGGAGGGAGACCTGCGTTTGCCCAGCACAAGTGACTGATATGACAGATCAGCGCTGAGGAGGGAGGGACATTTCCTCTGTAAGCGTGTGTTAGAGTTTATGTGGGACGCTGCGGTGTGACTCGTAGTGACACGAGCGCAGCAGAGCAGGATGTGTAGGTGTCTGTAACAGAGCAGACCTCATGTGCACTACGTCTCGTGGGCTGCTCTGTTGACCGCCGCTGCCAAGAGAACAGTTCATGAGACGCAGCCTGGGCTGTCAATCAAAGCCGTGTGTGAGCGTGAGCTCGCTCCATGCACCAATATTCTACAGTTCTGATGGTAATTTACCTACTGGTGAGTAACTTTATAAACTAACCAAAGAGGCACAATGGAAATAATTTGGTCAAGAAATGAAATAAAGTCAATAACAAAAAGAGCATGAGGATGTGAGGAAATCTGACACTGCAGCATTTGGGTAAGAAAACAGATTTTAGGATGACGATGTCAATGACCTCATATGAATGAGCAGCCAACATGTTCTGAATGTTAATTATTTATCATCCTAATATATTTCCAAATAAAAGGCTCTTTATTCCTTGAGTATGTTACACGTTTTACAAGTTTTTCAGTGAACTAGTTTGATGTTTATTTTAATGATTCTAGCAATTTCCTGAATTCACAGTGCACAGTGCACACTTCATGTTTAGAGCACGATGCCCCACACTAGGACATAGACCGGGAAGAAGATACAGCCCTTCAACGCTTAAAAAATCTATGTATAAAAACCTGTTTAAACTCTTAAAATAATAGTAAATTACAAACGTTCCATGCTGTAGTAGACGCATTTAGTCCATGTGCCGCCAGACTTTCTTCTGTCGTCTTCTGCCCTCTGCTCGGCTGCCATGTACTGGACAAGTTTTGGAAAACCCTGGTACATGAAAATAAATTCAAACCATGGTAATATATAAACACCCCAATTATCAATGTTCAAACAGATTTAACTAAACAGGACACACCTTTGACTTTACTGAAGAGGCTGAATTTTGTCCTGGTCCTGACAAAGAAAACAGACATTTACACTGTTACTCATAATTATTCAATTTAATATAAACGTATTCATGATTTTTTTTTTTCTTTACCTGAGCTGTTTTTAAAGCACACGCACAAAGTCACTCCGATGAGCAGACTGGAGGTGAACATCAATGCTCCACTTAAGACGTACACATGGGCAAGTGCAGCTTTCAGGGCCCCTAAAGATGTTACGTTTTTAAACACTCCATTAGACATTCAGAGTTACTTAATAATAACAATGTCATGCATGTATATCCTCTTCTGAGTTACATGTAAAATTATATTTTCTTATTTGAAATGATCCAGCAGTAGATTTACTTTTACTTGATTTAAATACTTATTTCAAGTTAGTTTAATTTCAAGTTAAGTTATTTAATGTCCCAAATAAGCAGTATATTGAGAGATGTTTGAAGAAAAGATGAAAATAAAACTAAGACAGAAATATCTTGACAATTCACATAGATTTAACAATTGAATATATCCAAACAAACCAAAAATACAACTCAGAATTTAGGATGTGAAGATGCAGTTTGATGATAAATAGAACAAATGTACCTACGTATATTGTCGTACCTTCAATAGAGACCCTGGTCCCGTTCCCAAACAGGACTTGTCCACAGGCGGCCACAGCGCAGTAGTAGGTCCCAGTCTGCTCTGAGTTCACATTGTGTATGGGGAGGCTGTACACACAGGAGTTGGTTGGACTTTTTCCATTGTTCTTACACTCTTCACCCACACGACCTCCTCCATGACTGTACAGGACTCCTGCTGCAGACTCTTCAGACTGTTTGAACCAGTGAACCCTGTGCTGTCCTTCACACCTCTCAGTCTGGACACTACAGTTTAGAACCACAGAATGTCCTGCTTCTGTTTCCTCATGTGGAGACTGATGGACTTCAACTGTAGGTTTCAAACTCTTCACAATCACAGTGACACTTTCCAGGAACTCACTTTGGTGTAACAAGCATTGTACACAGTGATAAACAGCAGAATCAGAGATGTTTACATTCTTGATATGTAAGTCATTTTTGTTATTGTCATAATCCAGCTGGAAACGACTGCTCCTGAAAAATTCTCCATAAAATTCACTCTTTTGGTCATATTTAAAGTATGAAGAGATGAGCTCTGGTTTCATGCCCAATTTTTGCCTGAACCAGTAAAGTTTAGCTCCGACCTGGACATCATCAGTTGAAGCACAATGTAATGTAATGTTCTCTCCAATAGATGCTGAGAGGAAAGTACCCTCCTCATGTAGACCATTCATCTGAACTGAAAAAGGTTATAAATATGATTATAAATAAGCATATAAATTGTCTTTAGTCTATGACTCACCCACAGAAGCCAACAGCAGACACTGGACAAAAACAGATTGTGAAGGTGTCATCTTCCTCATTTTGTGCTGAAGTGAAACATATTGATAGAGTCTCTTCTTTTCATAGTCGAGCTCGCGTGTGATTGGCGGATCAAAAGAGACACTGTACAATGGAAGTCACATGTTTTTTTTCCATCTGTTAAATTTTTTGCTTATTAAACTAATACAAATGTCTTTTAGTATTATTTCCTGAACTTACAATACAGACTCTATCATAACCTTTTAACACAAGAAAGTCATATTTCTTCAACCAAAGTCTGGACTCACAGGCTTAGTTTACCTGACGGAGAATTGACTTTAGATCTCTTTATTAAAAAGACCCAACCTAATCACTGAGGAAATAAAATAGAAATGAGTGAAACTGAAATCAAAGTTTATTTCAATGCACAGCTCTACAAGTACTGCATAAAACACTAAATGAAAACTTTTGACTTGCTACTATGAAAGGGCACTCAAAAGGGGCGGAGTCAGCAGGTTTGAACAGGAAGTAATATACACTGCTCCAAACAATGAAAGAAACACTTACACATCAGATCTCAATGTGAAAAAGTAAATGCACGTTGAGATCTGATTGGTTTTTTTTATTTGACCAGTGTATATACCAATAAAAATGGCCCTAATATGTCTCAAATTACAGTTTACAATTTACATATGCAAATTAGTATTTATATGTGCATAATAGTATTAATACTAATCATAATATACATGCCCTATTCTTTCCCCCACACACATAAACTCAATATAAACGTAGAAAGTAGATAAAATTAAAAAAAAAGGGAAAGAAAAAATAATAATAATAAAAAATGTACAAAATAACTAAATAATAATAAAATAAATAACATAATAGCAATAATAATGAAGATGATACTTAATAATGAAAAGGATTATATATGTATGTATATAATACATACAACATAGACTAAACGTGTACCAGGTATATATATGTATATATACACACATACACATACATACAGTATGTACACCATATATACATACACCACATTTTATATATGCATATATACACACACACACACATATACACACATACACATATATACACATATACACATACATACATATTTACACATACACCAATATGCACATATATGTACACATACATACACATACACACATATATACATACTCATATACACACACACACACACACACACATATATATATATATATATATATATATATATATATATATATATATATATATATATATATATATATATATATATATATATACATACATACAAGTATAAAATAAATAATAAGTTAGTAAGTAAAAAGGGAGGCAGTTGGGTTACACATTCATACAGTACATTTTAGAATACACATATGTATCAAGTACACATTTTCAGGATTTCAGGATTTTTTTATTTTTATTTTTTTTCCTAGACAGAAAACCACTGAAATCCTTTACATTTTGCATTACAGTTACTCCTCACTTCATACAGTTAATTTTTTTTTTTTTTTTTAAATATATATATATATATATATATCATTTTAAATATAATATATACAATGTTGAACATGAAATACCACTTTTCAAAGTTGAATATATTAGATGTTTCAGATTCAGATGTCTTATATTCAAGAACAATCACATGACATGATGATATTGCTGCTTTTGTGAAGGAGCAAACAGGAGCTGTGGCTGAAGCGAGAGAACCACAGAATCTAAGAGTGTAGGATTGTGTGTTGTATTTCCAGCACACTGAGGTATCTTTACATGTACTTCTCAGACTGGTGCTGAATGTTTGTGAAACTAAAGACTGTGTCTTCCTGATCGTAACCACAAATGTTCAAAGACCTGAAGCTTCAAACATGAGTATGTTAGATGATGTTAGAGGCTGTTTCCAAAGCAACAATGACGCCTTTGTAACTGTGATCATGTGGTTAACATGGCTGCATCTTGTATTATGAACTTAATATTGGGGGCGCCAGTCATAAAAACTGTTGTTTCCTTAGGCAAGGCACTTCACCCTCATTGCCTAGTATGAAAGTGGTGTGTGCGTGAGTGTTGGCGGTGGGCAGAGAGGCCGATGGCGCAGATTGGCAGCCTCTCTTCCGTCAGTCTGCCCCAGGGCAGCTGTGGCTACAGTAGTAGTTTACCACCACTGGGTGTGGAGTGAATGAATAATGTTCTGTAAAGCATCTTTGAGTGTCCAAAAAAGCGCTATTTAAAAGTAATGCATTATTGTTTCATTATTATTCATATTGCTTTGACACCTCAGTAGGTTTATAACATATTAAACAGTACAGGGGACAAAGGGCAGCTGTGTCTTGTCCATAACCACAGTCTGTTGGACAAGGTCATTTTAAATCAATTATGGCGGCGTGAGGACAGGTCTGGCTCCGGAGTGCTGGTGAACTTTTCACTGATATTATCATTTGACCCAACTAAAGACCACAAAAAGTGCTGTAGTGTACTTACTTATAATGAGCATTAATAACTACTTTCTGAGACAGTCAGACATGCCTCGCCACAAGAAAAACCAAGACTCGGATACATCTGTGGAACAAGGAGTAGCCGATGCTAACATGGAGGAGCAGCGAGCTAGTACCAGTACAGAACGGGCTGGGTTAGATGCTAGCATGCGTGCTTGCATACGTGAGACAATGACCGAGATGACGGCCAATGTCACCAAGGCAATTGATGAGAAACTGGCACCGGTGCTGGTTTTGCTGAAAAAACAAGGTGATCGGATTGACGCACATGAAAACAGGCTAACTGAGTCGGAGCGGCGGATTCTAGCCCTCGAGGATGCGGCAGATCCGACCAACTCTAAAGTGGTGGCCTTGGAGAAGTCCGTTCGCTACTTGATTGAACGTGTTGATGATCTCGAAAATAGGGGGCTCCCCGAAGATGTCGAGGGAACTAATCCAACCCTGTTTTTTGAGCGCTGGCTCCCTGAGGTTTTGAGTCTTAAAACAAAAGAGGGACGAATCAAGCTGGAGAGAGCACATCGCATTTCTGGCCCTAAGCCCCCCTCGACACAGAGGCCAAGACCCGTGATTGTACGTGTAAACTGAATGCGTTCTTGGGAAATAGGACGGAGGGACCAGGCCGTAACGCACGGAAATGCTACTATAATGTTTTTCCCGGATCTGTCAGCTGCCGTGGCCCGCAAGAGGAAGGGATACGACGCTGTGAAGAGACGGCTCCGGTCACTTGGTGCCGTTTATAGGCAGCTATACCCAGCTTTGTTGAAAGTAACCTTCCGTGGGACGAGTAAGGTGTTTGACAACCCCGACGAGGTACAGCGCTACATCGACTCGTTGGAGGTCCCCCCTCTGACCCATGGCGAGTGAGGACGAGGCTGCGTTCGGGCTGGTCAGCGTCCGAGAATCGGGGTTAATTTCTTAACTTAAAGTTCCTTCGCCTGTCTTCTACCACCGAGTACATAAGCAATGTGACCTGCGCTTGTATTACAATTTGACGCTACATTGACTGTTGGGATATAGTAAAGCACAGCCTCCTGGCACTCTGCACTGATGTCTTGTTTCCGTCAGGGATCCCACTCGCTCGATCTTCTCTAAGACTGAGGAGAACAGTGTTGTAGTTATGTTAGGTAACGTGTGCCTTAAGCACACCGTTTTTTGTTCGAATTGTTCATTTTGTGTTCTTTTTGGCCCTGTGCTTGACTCAGTTTATATGTATATGACACAAATAGACAGATACCCTACTATTTTGCTGTTTACCTGTTCTTCATGTCTGGTTTAAAATTTTGCACCTGGAATGTTAAGGGGATACATACACCTGTTAAACGCAAAAAAGTCTTAAATTATCTTAAGAGGGAGGGAGTACAAATAGCTTTATTACAGGAGACCCATTTAAGTGACAATGAGCATTTGAAACTACAACAAGGTAGTTTTGGTCAGGTTTATTTTTCGTCTTTCACAACAAAAAGCCGAGGTGTTGCTGTTCTGATACAAAAAAAATAATCAATTTAAACTGTTGGATTGCATAAAGGACTCAATGGGCTGTTATGTTATTGTAAAGGGGCTTATATTTGGTGAAGAAATCACAATTTTAAACATATATAATCCACCTGGGCACCCCAAAAAACCATTTAACCACTGCCTTTTCAAAAATTATCAATCTTGGTACAAGACAGACTTTTATAGGAGGAGATTTTAACTGTCATCTCAACCCCGTTATGGACAAATCCCCACCTGGCAAAATATCACTTTCTTCTCATGCTAAGTGCGTCAATGCATTTTGTGAAGATATGGATTATGCTGATGTATGGCGAGCACAGCACCTTACAGATAAAGAATATACGTTTTTTTCAAATGTCTCACAATCATCTACAAGGATTGACTATTTTTTTCTTTCAAAAACTCTCCTTTACTCAGTTATTTCAAGCTCAATAGGCCCAATTATTATCTCTGACCATGCTGCTGTATTTTTGCAATATAATTTTTCAAATCCAGCTAACCAGACCAAATACTGGAGATTTAAACCATCCATTTTAACTGATCAGAGGTTTCTCTTGTATTTTAGGGACGAATTTAAATTTTTTTTAACCACTAACTTAACCTCCACTAACAATTCATCATTGTTATGGGAAACCTCTAAAGCTTTTTCCCGTGGTCTTATCATATCCTACACATCTAGTAAAAGGCAAAGACAGGCTGAACAAAGGAAGATTCTTGAGTCTAAATTAAAACGTGCAGAGAAAGAATATGGGCAACAGCCATCTGCTCAGAAAATAAAGGAGGTATCGGCACTCAGATGTGCCCTGGATGCACTTTTGACGGGGGAGGCCGAAAACCAGATAAGATTTGCAAAACAGAAACTGTATGAATTCGGCGGTAAAGCGGGAAAATACTTGGCATATTTAACCAAAAAAAAGGCAGATTCGCAGTCGATCTCCTCTGTCATGGACATCCAGGGTAGGCAAATCTTTGACACGTTAAATATTAATAATGTGTTTAGAGGTTATTATGAAAATTTATATAAGTCTGAGCACCAGCCAGATAGCCTTGAGAAAATGGACAGTTTCTTTTCCTCTTTGACTCTCCCATGTCTGTCGGAGGAGCAAAGTGGATGTCTTGATGCCCCAATATCCAAAAAAGAGTTACTTGATGCAATTAAAGGGCTACAATCTGGTAAATCCCCTGGTCCGGATGGACTAAGCGTAGAATTTTACAAGGAGTTTTGTGACGTACTTGTTGATCCTCTGTTGAATATGTTTAATGACTCATTTGTTAGGGGTACGCTACCTCAATCCCTGAGAGAAGCAAATATTTCTTTGATTTTAAAAAAAGGTAAAGCACCTGAAGAATGCTCATCATATAGGCCAATCTCACTCTTAAATGTGGACTTGAAGATTCTATCTAAAGTTTTAGCTGTTCGATTGGAAAAATTACTGCCAATTCTCGTTAATGAATGAAGACCAAACTGGATTCATTAAGGGGCGTAACTCTTATAAACAATATGCGACGGCTACTTAACACAATCCAATACTTTCATCAACATTCAAAAAGTGGTCTTGTGCTCTCTCTAGATGCAGAAAAAGCATTTGATCGCATAGAATTATCATATTTATTTTATACATTACATAAATTCGGCTTTGGTACTACTTTCATTAGTTGGATAAAAGTTTTATATGCAGATCCTCTCTCAGCAGTACTTACAAATGGTTTACGTTCCCCATACTTTCCTATTTTTAGAGGAACTAGGCAGGGTTGTCCTCTGTCCCCACTGCTGTTTGCTCTGGCGATGGAACCCCTGGCTGAGGCCATCAGAGTAGATAATAACATCAGCGGCTTTAAAATCGCAGATAAAGAACATAAGATCACACTCTATGCAGACGATGTTTTGGTGGTGGTGACAGAACCTGAGGTGTCTGTGCCCTGCCTTGTTGAGAAAATTAACAATTTCAGCTACTTTTCAGGCTACAAGATAAATTTTACTAAATCTGAGGCAATGCCCCTAGGCACTTTAAAACAAGCACCAATGGGCTCTTTTCCTTTCAAGTGGTCAGCAGAGGGTTTTGTTTATTTGGGAATACATGTAACCCCTACGTTTGCACAGATGTATAAAGCCAATTTCCCTCCTTTACTTGATCGTATTCGGCTTGATCTGGAGAGATGGAATAGTCTTCCCGTCTCTTGGATGGGCCGAATTGCGCTATTGAAAATGAATGTTCTCCCCAGGTTGCTCTATCCATTACAAATGTTCCCAGTCTTTTGTTGTCCCATAAGGTTATCAAACAATTAAATGGTTGGCTTAGCTCTTTTCATATGGTCCAAAAGGAAGTCGCGTATTAAACTGGCTATGTTATGTCGACCGTCATTGGAGGGAGGTCTAGACATGGCAGACATAAGAAAGTACCAACTTAGTGCTCATTTGCGTGTTATAGCGGAATGGGTGCACAATAGGCCAACCTCACTTTGGATGGACATAGAAAGTTCTATGTCTGATTGTCCCTTGACAGTGCTATTATTTCTTAAAAAAAAATGAAGTCTCTTAAGTCTGCCTGTGCTAATCCTATCACTGTTACCACAGCCATGGCGTGGCGGTCATTAAGAAAGCTAGAAGGTAGGCATAATGTTACATCTGTTTTTACCCCTATCTGTAATAATCCTGAGTTTTTACCTGGAATAATTGACAGTAGATTTCAGATTTGGGCACAGAAAGGCCTATCCAAATTGCACAATTTCTTAGAGGGGCGTAACCTAATGTCATTTAACCAATTGACTGAGAGATATGATATTTCAAGGAAAGACTTTTACCAATATCTACAGGTGAGGGATTTTGTTAGGAAAGATACTGCACATCCAGTCTTTGGAGAAATATCGGACATGGAAAGACAGATCTTCCTTACAAAGTCAACTGCTTCCATTAAAATATTTTACAATATCCTTAAGGGGTATTCTACTGTAGACTCTCACCTGAAAGGGCTCTGGGAGAGCGAACTTGGTTGTACGATTACTGATGACAAGTGGGAAAATGTCTGGAACAATGCAAAAACTCTGTGTGTTTGTAATAGGGTTAAAGCAACTCAGCTTATGATTCTCCACAGAGCTCACATTTCTCCTAATCGAATATAATAAATTAAAACCTAGCTCCTCGCCATTGTGTTTGAAGTGCAAAAATGAGATTGGTACCCTTACACACTGTTTTTGGTCCTGTCCAAAAGTGCAACAATTCTGGGACATGATTGGACAAGAAATAGAAAAGATTCTGTCTGTAAATTTAACCAATGATCCTCTATTTCTGTTGCTTGGTGTAATTGACCCCGTTGTAAAAGATAAATATAATAGAAAATTGTATGGGATGCTGACTTTTTGTGCCAGAAAAAGTCTACTAGTGAATTGGATATATGTGACAAGACCCCCACAAAAACTCAATGGCAGAGGACGGTTCTTGGTTTTGTTTCTCTTGATTACCTGACGTGTCGGCTTCATCATAAGGACAATGTCTTTAAGAAGACTTGGGAACCATTTTTGATGTATTCTGGACTTGAGATCTCAGCTATCATGAATAGGGTATTTACATTTTGAAATGGCTGTATCTGTGTCTAATATATGAATGGGCCAATGTTTGTTTGTTTGTTTTGTTTTGTTTAATTTTGCTTGTATTCCTTATATTGTTATTTTTTTGTTGATTATTTTGTTTAAACTAAAAGGCAATAAATATATATGCAAAAAAAAAAAATTTTATGAGTATCCTATGTCGCTGAATGCTGTAACAAAATGCAAAACCATGTACATAAAAATCTCGATCGGATCAAAAATAAATACTTAAAAATAAGAGTAATTTTATTTATACTGCTTTATCATAAAAAATAAAAAAAACTTAAAAATGTATTATTTATTCATTAATTTTATTGGAATGCCCCTTGAGAATGTGTCTCATTTTTGAGGGGGTCCAAAAAAAAACACAAAATATTAGTAATACACAGTAGATACAGAAATAACTTATACAATCTGTTACATTCAGTCAACAATAAGAGAGATACACACTGTTCACTCTCTGACACACACACACACACACACTCACACAATATCACCCATTCACTAAGCAAAGCATTAGATATTTTAAAGATCATATTAATCTGCCATTTCTACATTTCACTATTACATGAGCCCGTATCTACATACAAAAACACAAAATATCAGTGCTGCACATTTCACACTGTGTGATATTGAACACTTGTTATCAGTGCTGCAGGTTTGTTTATTCCACAACCATTTTTTAAAGCTCCACAGAGAATCTTGGATATTTTGTTTGGCTGTTTAGTCCAGTCAGGAGATTGGTGGGAGACACACGTGGCTCTGGTTTTCACTGCAGATGTGGACTGAACATAGAGCTTGAGAGGTGCACATGCTGAGTTGTTCAGGATTCTATATTCCAATCCAAGTGAGGCTAATCTTTGTATAAACCGAGCTGTCTTGTTCTGTGTTGTTGCAGTTTCTGGTTGCTTTTAAAAAACATGCAGTATGATTATTCTGAAGCTGTACAATTTAGATGTCCGGGATAAGGCCGAGATAATCGACCTCTCATTTGATTGATGTCTCACAGATTGTCAACAAGAGAAGCAAACTAACACTATCTACTGCAACAGCTTGTAGATGGTACTGAAGCTGAGCAATAATGGCTTCCATAAATTTGCTTTACACCTGTGCAAAGGCATCGTCTGCATACATTTGGCTGCAAGCCCCAGGACAAGTGTTTAAAAATATTGATCCCTGTGAGACCCCTGTTTTGAATGTTAAAAAGAACGATCTTTCATTGTTGATTATTACAAACTATTATATTTGTTCCAGCTATGTTCTTAAACCATTTCATATATCTAAAAAAAAAATTTAAAATGCACCAATAATTTGGCCTTTAACAATAGCCAGTTTAATTTGTTCAATAAATAAAACAGCAGTTTGCAGTTTCAGTTCAATACTGAGGGTGGAACCCAAATTGCAAAACATGCAGTATGTCATTGGAATTTAAGAACAATATGAGTTGATTTCTTCTTCTCTAGCACTATTGTTTATTTGTCTATGAGCGCCAAGACCTCTGATTGAGTTACTTTGAGTTACTTGGTCTGTGGGTTGGTTGGGTCTAGCCTGGATCTCAAATTAAAACCAATAGACAATTCCTCACCTGATGAAACAAAAAAGTTTTCCACATTACAGATGAATTACCTCTGGCCTCAGTACATACAAGGATACTTACAATATTTATTAGTCTAATCATAAATATTGTTTTAGATAAGTATAAATTATTTCAGTGAACAGAATGTAAAATCATGATCCGGGTATGTAATAGTTTATTACTAAAACCAGAAACAGTGCAATATGTCACTTTTAAAGAGGAGGTATTATACTTCCAATCTTCTACTTGTTAACACATAATATATTTAGATCATCATGTGACATTTTATTGTTTGAAAACATGTGTACTTTGTTTCTCTTGTAGTCCCTACTCCCCTTGCATTCTAATAATTAAACTACTGCACATCTCATCAGGTTTGTGAAGTTGTAGTGGATTTGCTCTGTATCCTGCTTCATGAAAAATGGCTGGGTTGGAGAAAGGCTGATATAGGCTTGGGTCTGAGCGTTGCACAGAATCGTAACACTAACTGCAGTGAAGGCGCTAATAGTGGGCGGGACAGATCTCTAGATTACTCATCCATGGATCACATAATAATATTCCTTCTGTAAGGGAAGCAGCAAGTCCCACAAAAGCACATCTAGCACCCTGCTGTGTCCATGTTCAGTCATGTGGGTGAACACTGGAGTACACACAGTCAGTGTGAGCGGTGACTCTCTGTCTTCTGGACGGAGGCTGGACGCTCAGGGCAGCGTAATGGAGGGAGTGCACGTCCTGCTCCTGAGAAAAATAAAGACACAGAAATGTCATCTAGTGTCTATTCACAATATACAGACCTACAGACAGATCTAAAACACTTATATATATATATATGAAATTTTCAATATTTTTGTCACTGATTTCAGAAAGTCACACATATATTATATAAATTCATGACACATAGTGTGAAGCTTTCAAATAATTCTGGCTTACAGATAATGAAAATGTGAAAATGCTAAATATTGGAAAGTCATGTTGTCACACACTAATCAACTAATGTACTGAAAACACCTGCAAAGGTTTCCTGAGCCTTTAAATGGTCTCAGTCTGGGTCAGAGGGCTACACAATCATGGGGAAGGCTCCTGAACTGAACCAATGTCCAGAAGACACTCACTGACATCCTCCACAAGGAGAACACCACAAAAGGTCATTGTTGTATCCAAGCATATTCAACTTGAGAGGAAGAAAACAGTGTGATAGGAAAAAGTGCATCAGCAAAGGGAGGACCACAGCCTTGAGAGGACTGTCAAACAAATCCACTCAAGAATTTGAAGGAGCTTCATGAGGAGTGGACAGAGGCTGGAGTCAGTGCATCAAGAGCCACTACACACAGACAAATCCTGTATGGGACATGAGACCATGTCAGAAGAGTCACACCTGGACTGTGGAGAAAAAGAACTGGACTGTTGCTCAGTGTTTCAAAGTTCTCTTTTCAGATTAAAGTAAATTTTGCACATCACACAATGCACACAATTTGGAAATTAAGGTCCCAGAGTCCTCAGGAAGAATGGGGAGGTAAAAAAAAAAAAGAAAATTATTTTCATATAGGTTTTTCCATTTGTATCGTAAGTGACACATTGGGCACTGGGCATGCTGTTTTGGTGATACAGCAAAAACAAGCCTCTTTCTTCTTTTCTCTTTTATTATGAACAGTGGTAAGCATGAAAACAGCAGCTAAAGCTGTAAAGAACATTGGCTTTGTATTTTTTAGAACTGCTTTGTTTCCAGTAGCCATACCAGCTTGTAAAAGCCTGATCCTGTCAGATCTCAGAAGCTAAGCAGGCTGGGCCTGGGTAGTACTTGGATGGGAGACCACTAGGAATTCCAGGTGCCACAGGAGGGTGGCACCTGGAATTGTGGCAAAATGAGTGGCAAAAAAAAAAAAAAAAACTGTTGTTGTGTCCTTAGGCAAGACAATTCACCCACATTGCCTAGTATGAAAGTGGTGTGTGAGTGATGGTGGTGGTTGGAAGGCCAATGGTGCAGATTGGCAGCCTCGCTTCTGTCAGTCTGCCCCAGGGCAGCTGTGGCTACAGTAGTAGTTTACCACCACTGAGTGTGGAGTGAATGAATAATGAACTGTAAAGTGCTTTGGGGATCTTGAAAGGCGATATATAAATGCTATCAGTCAATCAGTAACTTTTTCTTGTGTTATGAACAGTAACAGGCATGAAAACAGCAGTTCAGGCAATATAACAAGAACGTCGGCCTCTTATTTTTCTTCAAACTGCTAATGCTACTGCTAAACTTAAACCTTTCTTCAATACCTTCATCAGCACTCTCAATAAATGGAACATCTGGAGCAGACATGTCAAACTTAGGCCCGGGGGCCACATTTGGCCCACGATGTAGTTATATTATATATGTAGTTATATATCTAGTTTATATATTGGTGAGATCATATCAAACATGTGTTAGAGCTGTTCGCCGGTTACAGATAGGCTATAGAGACATTATTTATTTAAAATGTTATTATTTTATATTTTATATGTTTGTTCTGGATTCAGTGTTTAAGCAAAACTATTACTAAACATTTATTTTAATAAGAAAAAGTTTAACATTACATATCTTGAAAGAAGAGAAAACATGCAGATGTTGTTGAAATTGTTCAATAAATATTTAGTTTGGCCCACGACTTTATCCCAGTTTTCAATTTTGGCCTCTGTGAATTTGAGTTTGACACTCCTGATCTGAAGGGTTAAATTCTGCCTTCCTCCATTTGTATTATTTCGTTTTATTTGTTATTATTTCTTCTTTCGGCCTGTGTTACTGTTGGACCTTCTTCTACTGTGCTAATCTGGTCATCACTATTATCAAAGTCAGCATCTGTATGTGCCTTTCCCTTCCTCTTTTTTCTTTTCACTTTGCTTTTACTGCACTGTTTTGTTGCTTGTGACACTGTAAGATCTTCCTCTTCCACTTCAAGCCCATCATAGAGTTTTATCATCCTCATTGCTACTACCAGTACTAGAGTTCTCTTCATCATAATCTGCATTAGGGGTAAAATTTTAATCCAACACTTCATCTGCCAACATCAACTCCTGTATATCGCTTGAATTGTCACCAAGGATGTTGTAAATATAACATTGCAATCTGAAATTTGTGTAATTGATTAAGAAAAACATTTTTATGATACACAATCATCAATATAGAGCATATTGCACCAAGAAAAGAAAGATGATGACAGTTGAGGGATTTACTACCAAATTCCACTTTTTACCTGTAGTATCAAATTTGAACACAAATTTTATACACAGTTTTACTACATAATAAAATTATTACATTATACATTATTATGTAACTATAACTTGCTTCGGCAGATTAGATGTTCATGTTAGAATAACATAAATAAAATGTATGAATAAAAAGAAAATGTCACTGGAAAATGTCACATAAAAGAAAATGTCACGTAAAAATCACAAATTTCTTTAAGGCCCTGTCACACCCTGACGATTTAAAAAACATATGCCGACGTACCAGAATTTCCCTAAAACGCTGGCATATGCTGAACCATCGATGTTTTTTTTTTGTTTTGTTTTCAATTTTGGGTGTATACATAGTGTATTCATAACGAGTTAAATGTATACATAATGTATTAGTACCTTATATTGAATGTTTTGATAACTTATATATAACTTATACCAACTAATGCTTAACTTGTTTCCAGCATCCACAACTTATGCCTAACGACAGACTGACCTATGCATTGCACACGACAGCGTATCGCCGACGATCACATGTCGTCGCCTATTAAAATGCTGCCGCTCGACAAGTTAAATCATATCATATGATATATCATCATATCAGTCTCTCTCTGTATATGGTGCTGAATGCAACAGATCGATTGACAGGTCGGTAGGCAGCCTATAGAGCGGCGGGATCTGTCTGCAGACCACTGGCTGTAAAGTTGTGAGCACGATCGCGTCAGCTGTTTCCTGTCTACAGTAAAACCACTCGTGGTCGTCTGGAACACGTCAAATACGTCTGCATACATCAATATGTGTTGGAGATAAGTTCGATATAAGTTACACTTAGGTTCAAAACACATTACTCATAAGTTATGAGGACACTAGACATTTTCTCAATGTATTTGAAACTTACAATTAACGATCGCATAACTTATCTACAACTTATTCCCCGCGTATGCAGGACGTATAAGCACACACTGACATACGTCGAGAAATTTTCAGCATGCTCAAAATTTTTTGACGACTTTGCCATATGTCGCCGTGCTTCAGCGTGCTTCAGCGTGCTTCAGCGTGCTTCAGCGTGCTTCAGCGTGCTTCAGCGTGCTTCAGCGTGCTTCAGCGTGCTTCAGCGTGCTTCAGCGTGCTTCAGCGTGCTTCAGCGTGCTCAGAACTTATGCAATACTTACCTAGAACTTATCCGACGTACATCAGCATATTTGCCAAATTTTTCATACGTCGGCACACTCTAGCTAAATCGTCAAGGTGTGACAGCGGTTTTACCTTGATCCGGTGAGTTGGGAACTATCTGAAGGTGGCTATCTCAGATTGTCCCATGTACTGTTTTAATTGTTGTAGTGATAAAAGGATCCACCAGGGGGTTAAAGACAAGTGTCAGACTGGATACAAGAGGTCCAATGAGATTAATGTGGTCTTCCGATATTTTATGTTATTAGGTTCTTTTAACAGACATGTCAGCTGACCAGACACATCACAGTGACATCACATGACTCTGAGGAAGACGCTAGTGAGCAGTCCAAACTGTCAGGTATGAAAACAAACTTTTGGTCTGTAAAAAGAACCTAATAACATGGATACAAGAGGGTTTTGAGTGAAGTTTTTACCATTGGGTGATGCATTAGGTCTCAGAAATGCTTTTATCAAATCTGATGCATTTGGCATTATGTGGATATAATACATGGGGTTGATGTTCTGAAATTAGTGACAAATAATGTGTAACTTTATCATGATATTCAAGTTTTTTTGAGATAGTCTGTAAATTATGTGAACTAAAAATATATATATATATATATATATTTAAAATAAAAAGTAACTCACCTCTCCATTGGTCGTAGCCAGTATTCTGGACTGATATTTCAGTTCTGTAAATGTGTAAAATGTACAGATATCAGTTAAGTGAGATCGAACAACGAAATAATGTCAATATCACAAACTGACAAAAAAAAATAAAATGTTGTTTAAAATGATGCTATCGTACATCCCTACTTAGGTATTGTAAGTGCAATTTTAAACAAATCCATGATGGTCAATGTGTTGAAAGCACATGGAATGACACATCAAGAGCCTAATAATAACCTCAATAAAATTTTGAAATTCACAGCAGAAAGTGGAAAGTTGTAGATTTGATCTTGCACCAGGAAATATTTTAGATATATTTTGTTCTTATTTTGTTACTGTGTATACCACAGTTATACATAGATCTTTAAAAACATATGGGTCACAGACTGTTACCTGTGGACAGAATGTTGTATTTCTTTTTGACTCTGCACAGTGAGAAAACCAGAAGCATCACCAGGACTGAGGAGACTGCCAAAGCTCCACTCAAGAGGTAAATAACTATAGTCTGTTCTCCATCTGTGAAACCAAAGCTGATTTGAATGATTGACAAATTACATTTTTTTGACTCATTTTGACAGATTATGACTGTTACATTACACTGTATGTTGAAGATACATGTCAGAAAGATATAAGGAAGTGTCCACCAGCATTCTGACCAGAACTGAAGAATCAGTTTGGATAAGCTGCAAAACATCTTCAACCAAACTAACTTTTGTCCAGTCGACAAACTGAATTTTCTCCTCACCATGGATTCTACCTGGACGACTGAGGGATTCTTCACACATGTCAGAAACTGTGGTCATAGCAAAGCCTGATCTCGTCAGATCTCAAAAGCTCAACAGGGTCGGGCCTGGTTAGTACTTGGATGGAGACACTGGGAAAATCAAGAGCCACAGGGGGGCGCCAGTGGCAAAAACTGCTGTTGTGTCCTTAGGCAAGGCACCTTCACCCACATTGTCTAGTATGAAAGTGGTGTGTGCGTAAGTGATGGTGGGGGTGGAGGGCCTGAGGGTGCAGATTAACAGCCTCACTTCCATCAGTCTACCCTTGGCAGCTGTAGCTACAAATAGTAGTTTACCACCACTGAGTGTGGAGTGATAATGCTCTGTAAGGCATCTTTGAGTGTCAAAGGAAAAGTGCTATATAAAACTGATGCATTATTATTAGAAATAAACAAATACTAGTACTATAACATCATTAGAAGAACTTTTTAATCAGCAGGATCACTTGTATCAATAAAATGCATTTAGTTGTTTACGACCCTTGCTCTTGCCATCCAGAATTGTAAATTAATACAAATCAAGATTGATTTAGGAGTTGACTACAAATCAAAAAGCCTAAGTGAAGATCCTTTTTAAGTGTTTGAACTTTGAACCATATTTTCTGTGTACTATTTGGATGCAACAGCCAAAAGCTCAATAATAAAATAAAAACTCACTTGTTATTATGACCCTGGTCCCGTTCCCAAACAGGACTTGTCCACAGGCGGCCACAGCGCAGTAGTAGGTCCCAGTCTGCTCTGAGTTCACATTGTGTATGGGGAGGCTGTACACACAGGAGTTGGTTGGACTTTTTCCATCGTTCTTACACCCATCACCCACACGACCTCCTCCATGACTGTACAGGACTCCTGCTGCAGACTCTTCAGACTGTTTGAACCAGTGAACCCTGTGCTGTCCTTCACACCTCTCAGTCTGGACACTACAGTTTAGAACCACAGAATGTCCTGGTTCTATTTCCTCATGTGGAGACTGATGGACTTCAACTGTTGGGCTCAAACTCTTCACAATCACAGTGACACTTTCCAGGAACTCACTTTGGTGTAAATAACTTCGCACACAGTGATAAACAGCAGAATCAGAGATGTTTACATTCTTGATATGCAAGTCATTTTTGTTATTGTCATAATCCGGCTTCAAACGATTGTTGCTGAGAAATTCTCCATAAAATTCACTCTTTTCGTCATATTTAAAGTATGAAGAGATGAGCTCTGGTTTCATGCCCAATTTTTGCCTGAACCAGTAAAGTTTAGCTCCGACCTGGTCATCATCAGATGAAGCACAACGTAATGTAATGTTCTCTCCAAAAGATACTGAGAGGAAAGTACCCTCCTCATGTAGACCATTCATCTGAGCTGAAAAAAAAAAAAAAAAAAATTACAAAAAAAACATTAGAAATAAGATTATAAATGAGGACAAACTTCACAGAATCTGACTATTTAAGCCATCAGAATTGTCTTTAGTCTATGACTCACCCACAGAAACCAACAGCAGACACTGGACGAAAACAGATTGTGAAGGTGCCATCTTCCTCATTTTGTGCTGAAGTGAAACATATTGATAGAGTCTCTTCTTTTTATAGTCGAGCTCGCGTGTGATTGGCGGATCAAAAGAGACACTGTACAATGAGGTTAGCAAGTCGAGTGTTTTTTCCATTTGTAGACTAGATTTTTTAGAACATTTGAAAGAGTTGTACAGATTAGAGGAAAATGTTTTCAGTACATATTTACTTAGCTTATTAGTTATTTCACTTTAAACCAAGACAATTTATCTGTGTGCACAAGTTATTAAGGCTGGACAATATGAACTTTCAAATTTTTGGCTTAATAAATAAATAAAAATGGCCTTCAATAGTATTTCCTAAACTTACAACACAGACTCTATCATTACCCATTTAACAGAACTCTTGCAAGGCTTTATTGATTTATTTTTGTTATTTGGGCTGATTGGGACCTGATGAGTGCAAAAAACAAATACTTATGTTTTTACATGTTGTAGTTTCATAGAAAAACTATGTCCACATATGATATATAAACATTCATTTTATGTTTTAATCATTTTGATGGATTACAGTGAAGTCACAATTGAATAATGATTTGCAAAGACTATTTATTAAGTGCCTGAACAACCCAAAATGTGAAAGAAAGTCATATTTCTTCAACCAAAGTCTGGACTCACATGCTTGGTTTATCTGACAGAGACTTTAGCTCTCTTCATTAAAAAGAAGCAGTCACTTATGCATTAGAATTTAGTCAGCAGCAGAGAAGCATGTTTGAACAGGAAGTCTGAGGATCACTTTCTATTATTAAATCATTGAAATCATTTCCCTTGTGGATCAATAAACTTTGTCTAAGTCTATTTCAGATCAACATTGTGGTTTACAATGAGCAACATATATCATTTTGTTCTGTGTGTTACGTCTGGGCGATTCCACCATGTTGGTATCGATATGATACCAGGTATTTTGGGAGTGTTATTTTGTAATCTTAAGGGTGAAGGAATTTAAATCATTACATGTACAAAAGAGCTTCAGATAGGCTCTAAAGGACAAATAGAAGAGATTGGACACATGAAGAGACTGGATCAGTCCAAAATGCTGCTGCTGATGATGATGATGATGATGACACAAAACTATGAAGACACGGTCCTAATATGTCTCAAATTACAGTTTACAATTCACATATGCAAATTAGCACTTATATTTGCATAGAAGGATTGATACCCACATTTACACTGATTCAGTTTTGAATGAATGAATGTTTATTCGGACAGTAATACATAGAACATAAATTAAAAAAAACATAAATACATAGATATAACACAAAAAGTAACTATTTCTTTTCTATAATAATAGACAAAATAAATGTTACGCCAAATTTTTCGGATCTGAAAAAGGAGTGGGAGGAAGTAAATACTTATTTAACCCCACCCCTTTTTTCTACTGTCCCAAATTAACAAAGAACATATAGACTTCTCATTTCCTGTACATTATAAGCAATAATTGCACAGTACCCGCACTGCATTACAAATCTAACAACAACAATAAATATATGTATATTATGTACACAGATATAGTACACATCATATACACAAATATAATATATACATACCTGTTTGATATATTGGTACTTCTGTATTGTACACTATATTTAATCTAATCAACTATATAAAAGTGTTTCTTCAGTGTCCTGGATTATGCTCAACAGACTTTTGAATGTATAACCATGTGATCTTGGTGTTTTCTAATCAAAAACAAACACACAAAACTTGAAATTGTGTCTTTTGTTGTGCATGTTTGTGGTTCATGCAACTTCATTTGACTTGTTCTGATAATTTTGTGCACATTTTCTTTACTTTGCAACAAACAACGTCTACAAACTCTTGATCACTCTACTTTTTAAATTATTATTTTACATATAACATAATATAAAATTAAATACCTCTTTTCAAAGTTAAAAATAATGTTGTGTAAAAAGATTTTAAAGATTCAGATATCTTGTATGAAAAACGTAGTTACTCAACATGATCCAAGTACAATCATATGATAGAACTCTCCTGACTTTCATATTACTGCTTTTGTGAGCAAACAGAAGCTGTAGCTGAACTTTCAAAAGAACCACATAAGCTACGGGTGACGAGTGTAGGTTGTTTTATTTTTAGCGTACCGAGGTATCGTCACATGACTCAGACTGGTGGTGAATGTTTACAGAACTGAAGAGTATGACTTCCTGATCGTAACCACAGATGTTCCAAGACCTGAAGTTTCAAACACTTGAGTATGTTCGAGTAGAGTAGGTCAGAGGCTGTTTCCAAAGCAACAATAAAACCTTTGTAACTGTGATCATGTTGCCAACGTGTCTTTTTTCTTGTATTAGAAACATATTGCAATATTAAACAGTAAAGGGGTCAAAGGGCAATTTCAGTAAGTTAAAAAAATAAAAAAACAACATTACATTACATACATACATTACATTTTTATGTAGTATTAGTTGTAGTCTTGAGAGATAAGTGATGACACATAATGATTTGACTTCATTTATATAATTTTCCCAAAAGAAAGAGTAAGTTGTGCTGAAAAGACAACACAAAAATAATTACAGCAATAACTAAATTATGCAATGGAAAAAAAAAAAAAAAAAAAAAGGTTATAGTGATGATTTGTGAGAAGTGAGAAGACTCATTCCCCTCTAAGTTATTCACAATCTGAGCCCAGCCAGTGTATATGTTTATGTTTGTATAAGGTGACAGAGATACAGCTTTATGTCAGCTAATGTAATACAACGGGATGATTACCTATGTGACTATAGGCTATGTGTACCAGTAAAATGTATAAATATATATAAATATTAGACAAATATATATTATTCAAATGTATAATGTCTATTTATATATTATATATATTCAATATTTATTGTATATGTAAACAAATACAGAGTCAATTTATTTTTATTTTATATTATTTACAGTGCAAATATGATGGAGCATTAAGCTCTTAAAAGATCTTAAAAACTTTACAAAATGAACAGAAATCATTTAAACCCCATTTCCACACTGAAGTAGATACATTCAGTCCATGTGCTGTCAGTCAGTCTTCTACCTTCTTCTGTCCTCTGTTCAGCTGCTGTGTACTGGACAAGTTCTGGAAAACCCTGATATATGAACATAAATTTATTTAAACCACAGTAAAACATAAACACCCGATTATTAATATTCAAACAGATTTAGATATACAAGACACACCTTTGCCTTTGCTGACAAAGCTGAATAATAATAATAATAATAATAATTATAATTATTATTATTATTATTATTATTATTATTATTATTATCATCATTATTATTATTATTATTATTATTATTATTATTATTTTAAGCTCAAGTCACTCCGATGAGCAGACTGGAGGTGAACATCAAGGCTCCACTTATGACGTCTCATAAGCACTATATTGACAGACATTTTGAAGAAAGGATAAAATACCAGTTAACTGTCGACTAAAAGAGTTAAGTTATTTATCAAAACAAAGATCATGTACAAGTCACAGTGTCGTCTTTGGTATAAAGTGCTGTACCCAGTGTGTGAGTCCACGTGAGGATCATCTGTGTGCTCTGGGACATTTGCATGTGTGAGTTTGTGTTATTTACACCACTGGGTGTGTCTTACAGACTTGTGTCACGCCCAAAGCCGCCTGGCCCCATTGTCATGGAAACACTCTCCTCTCCCCAACTGACCCGTGTCAAGATGGTCCCAAGTGAACCGTGCCAGTGGAAACAAGTCTTATCTGCAAATGGAAGCACATCTGGACAAATCTGCAGCCTGCTGGTCCATGACAGTGGAGCTCTGCTTCACTCACTACGTTTATTAGTTCATGGAAACCAACATCACCAAATAACTGTTCTAGTCCAACTTAAACCAGCTGTGGTTCTCCTCAACATTTCTCTTATTCCAACTGGGATTGTTTTTTTGTTTTGTTTTGTTTTTTGTTTTTCCTGCAGAGGGAGGGTCTAAGGACAGGGGAAGTTCTGGAACATTTCTCCTTGTGCTTGTTTCCAGTGAATGTTGGTTAATTAACTTGTGATGTTATTGACCAATGACTGTTTCAATGTTATTTTGTTTTTCACAGATTTTCTAACTTTTGATGAGTTAAATAAATATTTTTTTTAAGCCCCAAGAGTCAACAGCTGTTGTGATTTTGGGCTTTATAAAACTAAACTGAATTGAATTAAAACCAAATCAAATGTGACATTTGGAGCTCAATGTAAAAAGTGTGAAGCACACTGAAGCCCTGTGCATGCTTTTTAATACTTCTGTAACTCAGGGGACTTATTCTCATGAAGAGCAAAGGAACAAAAAAGAACAAAGAACAAAAGTGAGATTTCTAATTCAAAGGACACTCCATGGTGCATTGTTCATAGTTGCTGTATAGCTAATGCAACAAGTAGTGTGGACAGGAAATTAAGCACCGTGTCAGTGTGTTTTTACGGTTATACAGGTTTACCCACAAAACCCCGACTGTATCAGATGGCAATGCAGCAGATTTTTTCACATTTACAAGGAAACGAGCAATCTTGCACTTTGTTGCATCTGTCACCCTCAGCCAATCAAATGCAACACTAGACTTTAAAGAGCAGTGACCACATTCACACAGTTCACGTGTTCTGCACAATCTTCAGTGATGTTCTCTGTTCAGACTCTCTTTACTCTTGCGCTGGTCAGTTCAGGTAAGCAGAATTGTACTATTAATCCAAATATGTTCCTGTCACTCTAGAACGCTTTGAAAGTTTTGTTTTCATTTGTCTTTTTAGCGTCGATGTCTGACCTGCCATTGTCTGTAAATCAACAAGAACAAGGCAGTTTCCTCTTAGCATCTGTTGGAGATAACATCACCCTAAGTTGTGCTTCTTCAAAAAATGTTAAGATTGGACCTAAACTTTACTGGTACAAACAAAAATTGGGCATGAAACCAGAGCTCATCTCTTCATATTTAAAATACGACCAGAAGCATGAATTTTATGGAGAATTTCTCAGCAACAATCGTTTCCAGCTGGATTATGACAATGACAAAAATAACTTACACATCAACAACATAAACATCTCTGATTCTGCTGTTTATCACTGTCTGGAATGTTATTTACATCAAAGTGAGTTCCAGGAAAGTGTCACTGTGATTGTGAAGAGTTTGAGCCCAACAGTTAAAGTCCATCAGTCTCCACATGAGGAAATAGAACCAGGAAATAATGTGGTTCTAAACTGTAGTGTCCAGACTGAGAGGTGTGAAGGACAGCACAGGGTTCACTGGTTCAAACAGTCTGAAGAGTCTGCAGCAGGAGTCCTGTACAGTCATGGAGGAGGTCGTGTGGGTGATGGGTGCAAGAACAATGGAAAAAGTCCAACCAACTCCTGTGTGTACAACCTCCCCATACACAATGTGAACTCAGAGCAGACTGGGACCTACTACTGCGCTGTGGCCGCCTGTGGACAAGTCCTGTTTGGGAACGGGACCAGGATCACAATCAAAAGTGAGTTATATCATTAAAATATAGTGTTTTTTTGTTGTTAACTTTGTTGTAAATTGTTCATTTGTAGGTGTCTCAGACAGTATGGTTTATGTTCTGAGTGGAGTTTCCATATTCAGCACCAGCCTGGTCGTTTTACTCACATTTTTCTTCTGTGTCCATAGTAAGACAGGTAAATAACTCATGATACTGTTCAATCTACAAATGTGCCAACATTAAACTGAGTATTGAGGGGTCGAGAATTTAAATAGTGTAAGGTTGATTAATGTTACACAAGAGACAAAAAAATCCACCAAAAACTCAACTTTTACATGTATAATATGTCAAAACACTTATGGATTTGTTCACAGTTATTATCCAATAAACAGTTACACTAAAGAGGTTTAGTTAGACTTTGTTGTCCCAGAAGGGAAAATGTGTCCTCTGCATTTGACCCATCCTTCAATGCCGCCTGTCAGGAGCAAAGTGCCACAGTGCTGGACCCAGGGACCAATCTCCACATGTTGAGTTAGTTTTGGTCAGGACGGTCTTAGCTGGACGATTGTAGTTGTGGTGCATGTTTTGGGTTAGTGGGGGAAACTGTTGTTCCCGGAGGAAACACACCCAGAAAGGCCCGGGTGGTGGTGGTAGAACCATGAACCTTCCTGATGTGAGGCATTGGTTCAGTTCAATTGGAAAAAAAATAATTTAAAAGTCACACAGAGCAGCACATTCATTCACACAAAAACACACAGAGTGACAAATACAATAATCATGTCTTTCATGTGGACCCGGTCAAGCAGAAGTAAACAGCAAGGCCAAAAATTCAAGTTAATGCATCTGATATAAAAATGTATTGAACAGATACATATGTACTCTAGTTTATGAAACTGTTGACCTTTTCTCTGTACCATTTTTGGTTCTAAAGTTCCATATTTTAAAACAGACCATGTATGAAACATGGAACAAAAATTATTTCCCACATTTCAAAGATCTGCAAATCATGTCAATAAATGGATGTATTTCATCATATCTTGTGTTATTCCATCTTTGAACTGTTGATGAAGGGACATGAAGGAGACTGACATATTTTATAGAAATAGTTTCCTTTCATTTTGAAGTAATATTAAAGTATTCGGAAGAAAAAAGTTGACAAATGATGTAAAATCCTGCACCTTCTACTTGTTTGCACAATTTTCCCTCCGTTACTTTTCCCTCCGTTACCATGACCTTTCTTAATAAAAAATCTCATAACTCAAAAAGTAAGAGGTTTTTCAACCTAATCTTGTACCATATGGTAGAAAACTATATGAAGCAAATATTCAAACCAGTTTGTTAAGGATATGAAGTGAGAACCAAGAGTTATCACTGTTTGGATTTATTGCCCAAAAAGTGCTGCATATTTCATTCCCTCTGTTACCGACATGAGTTTTTTTTTTTTTTGTCAACAACTTGAAAGAATATCACAGGTTTAACTTGACCCTGTTGGAGTGTAACTCTTTCCTACATTCTGATACTTTACTTATTTCAATAGTCCCTCTAGTTTCTGAATAAGAGACATTTGAATGTCAAAAATCTGCCCGTTTCCCTCCATTACCACTTGACCAGACCCATGTATAATATTGTAACGTGTCCATTTAGGTTTAACTTCCATCCTTTTCTCCAAAGGATTCCATGAAGTTCAAGAAGTAGAGCTTCTGTCAGTTTAGCACCGATATGTTCAGAGAAAGGAGTTTTACTTTGGAATATAGTTGTGTTATTTTGGTCGTGAATCGAGTCTTAAGATTCAATCAAAGATTCCAGTCATAAGATTTAAGAAAAGATCAGTTTGGACCAAATGGTTCCTTAAAACTCAGGTACTGATTATTTCACTGTGAAGGGAAGAAGAGGTCATTTTAATGTCACTTGTGTTCACATGCATCATTTACAAACATGTGCCAAGTATTAGAACTACTTTTTCAGACGACAAATAAACACTTCTTCTTGTGTGTGTGATGAATAAAAGATTTTACAGTCAGCTGCAGACAGAACCCAGGACTCTGAGTTTAGAACAAAGTACTGCATGTACAATATACTCCAAGAAGGAAACACAAGAATAAATTTAACAATGACTTCTTTTACAGAGACATACATGAGAAATCCTACAACAAACACTAAGGTATGAGCGTGTTTTCTGTAATCTCTTAATTTACATTTTCACAGATTTACTTTTGTTTTAATTTTCCAGGATTTCTCCAAACTTGTCCAGTACAAGGCCACAGAACAGATGAACAGAAGGAGCGGACACACACCTGACACATGGACCGAATGTGTCTACTTCAGTGTCAAGAAATGAAAGAAAAAAAAGGGCACATTTGAAAAAAAAATGCCATTGAATAAAACGTCATCTCTTCTTTGCTGCTGTAAAAAGTCTGGTAAAACTCAAGAGTTTTTCCTTTCGGCTCAGCTCCCTCTTCACCACAGTGGTCTGATACAACATCACAAAACCACAATATGTTTTCTTAAATGTTTGATCGTGTATAGATGCAGTGTGAGCTGATGTCTATGTAATGTTTTCATATACAAATAAAGCATTTCATGTGTAAAAACGGTCAAAATTAAAACAAAAACAGAAATGTGAAAAACGTCATGTTTAAAACTCTTGCTTCTTTTAGTTGACATTTTAGATACAAAATAATAATAAGTAGGGATGTAACAATAACCAAAATATCGTGATATCGTATCGTCAAAGTTCTCACAATAATATCATGGACCATCACAATATATCGAATTACAAGTCTCTTTGCTTAAATTAAGAGTTATAGTGCAGCAATAGCTAAAAAAAAAGACAGAGGGGACTACACAGACCATGATCCTTTGCTCCATTTCAGTGCAGACTACAAGAAGAAATAACAGTTCTTACACTTTTAAGTCTTAGTTCTTTGGATTAAATCTTCTCAGGGCATTTTAAGAGGAAAAAGTAACATATGAACAGTTTTAGCTGTTTAGCCTCCACAAAATATCACAATAAATATCATACTGTGAGATGTGTATCATGAAAATATCATACCAAGAGATTTGGATATTGTTACATCTCTAATCGTGAGCCTCCCCACCATATCATGAGACTTTCCTACAACATTGCAATAAATATGGTACCATGAGGTTCATATTGTGATGATATCGTATCATGAGACTTGGATATTGTTACATCCCTAATAATAATAAGGGGGTCCAGTTTGGGGACCACAGGATCATCTCTGGTGTTCACAGATGATGTTGTCCTGTTGGCTTCATCAAACCAGAACCTGCAGCACTGGGGAGGTTTGCAGCCGAGTGTGAAGCAGCTGGGATGAAGATCAGCTCCTCCAAATCCCAGGCCATGGCCCTCGACCTCTCCGGGTGGGTGGAGAGTCCCTGCCCCAAGTGGAGGAGTTCAAGTATCTCAGGGTCTTTTTCATAAGAGAGGGGAGGACGGAGTGTGAGATTGACAGGTGGATCGGTGCAGCGTCTGCAGTGATGCGCTCGCTGTATCGGACCGTTGAGGTGAAGAGGGAACTGAGTCGAAAGGCAAAGCTCTCGATTTACCATCAGTCTACTTTCCTCCCCCTCACCTGTGGTCATGAGCTTTGGGTAGTGACCGAAAGGACAAGATCACAGATACAAGCACTCAAAATGAGTTTCCTTCGCAGAGTGTCTGGGCGCTCCCTTAGAGATAGGATGAGGAGCTCAATCACATGAGAGGAGCTCAGAGTAGAGCTGCTGCTCCTTCATGTCGGGAGGAACCACCTGAGGTGGCTCGGGCATCTGTTCCAGATGCTTCCTGGGCGCCTCCCTCGCGAGATGTTCTGGGCATGTCCCACCGAGAGGAGGCCCTGGGGAAGACCTTGGACACACTGGAGGGACTATGTCTCTGGGCTGGCCTGGGAACACCTCGGGATCCTGGAGCTGGAGAAAGTGTGTGTGGAGAGGGAAGTCTGGCTTAGACTGCTGCCCCCGCGACCCGGCCCTGGATAAAGTGGAAGAAAATGGAATGGGAATGGAATGGAGATCTGACTGAAAATTTGCCTAAAAATTCAAAATTTTGCCTCATTTTTTGGAGTTAAACCTTCAATAAATCAGATTTGGAATTAGATATCAAAACATCCTTCTGTATGTTTTGTCTAACTCCTAAGACGAGAGTGTGAAGTTTGGTGTGTGCAGGTGCTGCTTTAAGAGCTGATCCTCACGTCCCTGTGGGGAAATTCATTTTGAGAAACAGCCTTAGAAGTTACAATGTCCCAATACCTTTATGGACACAGACTGACTGAATTAAATATTTGAACATCTTAGGGCATAGTGCAGAGTGGAAAATGTTGTTGTTCACACATAAAAGCTGAAATTACAAAAAGACCAAAAAAAAAAACAAAAGCGAAAAAAAAAAAAAGTTTTGCCTGTAGTGCCTCGCCTACACAGGAAGTGTAACAGTTATGAAGAAAGAGCCAAGGTGTGAAACCTGCCCTTTTGCACTCGGTGCTATGTGCACTTTGGCCCATTTGTGGTGAGTTAAAGAAAACAAAACTGAAGCCTCTGCACAGAATATGTGAAGTAAAACTAAACATTTATACAACGCTTCTCTACGTACAACTCCACTCACACTTCAGACCAAGAAACCAGTCGCCACAAACACACACATATACAGCAGTGTGCGCAGACACTGGAGGTAAGACAGCTAAATGTCTTGCCCAAGGACACATCAACAGCATGCACCTGTGAGAGCTGGGATCAAACCACCAACCTGTGGGCTAATAGATCTGACGACTCTAACAACGGAGCTACTGCCAGGAGTGAAACAAACACTCCCAACTATACAACAACTCTTATGGAACATATAATACTCCCTACAACTGTACAACAACTCACCCTAATGTAACAGATAATACTCCCTACAACTGTACAACAACTCTTATGTAACAGATAATAATATAATTGTTGCTGTCTTCGTATGACTTCTTGTATAAAGCTGAGATTTTATATTTTATTTTTCTTTTTGTATTTTATTTTGACTTGTACATTTACATTTATATAATTATGTCTTATCGGACACAGCCTTTTGCTCTTTTTGCAACTTATTTAGAATTTATTATTGCCATTTATATTTTTTACTCTTTGTTATTATATTTATTGTGATGTGTGAGCAAATGTGTCCAAATCATTTCCCTTGTAGATCAATAAAGTTTGTCTAAGTCTACATTCAGACTGCAGGGTTTAACGCTCAATTCAGATTTTTTTGTGAAATCTGATGTTTTTGCGAGGTTGTTCACATTTCCAATTAAATGTGACTTGTATGTGACTCCAGTGTGAACATTAAAAGGCCCGAAAGTGTCCCACATGTGCACTGGAGACACGATGACGTCAACCGCAGCGAGCGTCTCTGTGTTTACAGAAGTTGTCCAAACATGGACGCAGCATTGAGCACCTGGAGATTTTAAAGTTCCTCTCGTACTGGAGCCAGAACATGAACAACTTACTTGTTTTAAGGAGGAGATCGAGAAGTAGGACGAGGTTTTTGGCCGTGGTGTTTTGTGGGGCAGCGGCAGCGACGTCTGTTGAAAGGAACGTGTGGATGTGGAGACGTAGCCAAGAGTGGTGAGTGGTGATGTGCTTCGCTTCAGTGACACAGAGTTCATTAACAATTTTCGCCTACTTCAGCGCAGAATAGTGACGTTTGTGGCTTGTTGATAACGTGTAGGTGGATGAATGCACTTTGGCCGTTCAGGCTGAAGTCGCATGTCAAAAGATCAGATATGTATTGGTTTCAGGAGCACATATCCAAGTGTCCTGGGTCACATTTGAAAAAATCTGATCTGTGTCGTTCAGACTGTCATTAAAAGATCAGATACAGGAACATAGGGGCCAAAAAATCGGATTTGGGTCACTTCAGGCTGCAGTCTGAACGTAGCCTAAGTCTAAGTCTCCACAGTCAGTTCAGTTCAATCAGTGAGTTGGGTCATTTTCTGAGCCATAATGAGGAAGACGTACAAAGACTTATTCTAATTTCACATATTCCTGTTCTCTCACCCTTTTATCTTTATTTCTACGATTATTTGCATTGTAGTTTCTCACTGAGGACATACAAACTAATGAATGAACATAAACAGAATGTCTCAACAAAAATATATTACAATAACTCTTTGCTTTGAAGCCTGAACGCTGTGGTTTTGGTCTTTCTTGAAAAACACATGGCTCAGCTGTGAAGTGAAAACCATTTCAGGAAACCTCGTCATGAAGCCAAGGGTTTGCAGCGTTGTCACCAAAGCAAACAGAGGCCACTTTGAGCGTCTGAATCATATAAAGAGTTCAAAAAGCAGCTTTAAAGTGCAAGATTCTGAAAAATGTTTTAATAACTTCACAGTTTATAACTTTTCAGAAACAGACTTTAAATAACATTCTAGGTTTTGTAATTAGTTACCACCAGTGTTGGGGAGTAACAGATTACATTTACCGGAGTTACGTAATCAGAGTACAAATTATGAGTAACTGCATTCAGTTACAGTTACTGTTTCCATGAGTGGTAATTGGATTACAGTTACTTTGTTGAACTAAATGGATTACAGGGTGGTATTTTCCTGTTTTCACATTTTGGGCAAAACCAGAACTAAACCAGGACTAAATGAGGTCTAAACCAAGTCTAAAAGCAGGTCTAAACCAGGTCTAAACCAGGACTAAAACCAGGACTAAACTAGAACTAAAACCAGGACTAAAACCAGGACTAAACCAGGATTACATCAGGTCTAAACCACAACTAAACCAGGTCTAAACCAAGTCTAAAAGCAGGACTAAGCCAGGACTAAACCAGGGCTAAACAATATGACACTAACAGTAGGTGAACATAATTTCAGGCAGCAGTGATCTCATATAAAAATCATTTCTCTATCAATAATATTTTTAATATGATTAAGTAAAGTCTGGGCTTTTTCTTTTCTTTTCTCAGATAAAACAAAACATTTTATGTTCAGATCCTCGTCTTTGCTTCTCTACAGTAAACAGTTGTCTGTTCATGGAGACTTGGGCTCAACAGACAATATGAAGAGAAAAAACAAGAATTTTCAGGATGTGGTCGCTACATTCATGTCGTTTTAAAAAGCATGACAATATCAAGTAATCCAAAGTATTCAGATTACGTTTGGGGTATGTAATCTGTAATCTGTAGGGGAATACATTTTAAAAGTAACCTTCCCAACACTGGTTACCACATAGCTGATGATGCCTGAGCAAGTTTAATTTTTTTTCCTGGAATATCTATGGGAAAAAAAGAAAAAGACCATAAAATAATAAATAATAATAAAAATTGAATCAAACTGAACGAGAGTGTGTGTCCAAACGTAGGACTGGTCGTGTATGTGACTTCTTCTGCTCCTCACTCACACTGAAGTAACACCAACGCATGTTAAATCTTAAGTTTCCACCAAAGATGAAAGAAACCCAACAAACTTTCAAGGTGCATTTGTGAAATCTTTGACTTGCGACACCGCGATGAGGTCACACTGTATCTTCCTAGGCAACTTTTTCACAAGCCAATCAAATTCAAGCTTGACACTTTAGAGCAGAGGTGGTATCAATAGTTTCCACTGTGCATCTGATTCTCAAGATGATCCAACCATCTACAGTTCTGTTCGTCCTAAGTCTTGTGTCGGCCAACAAAGGTGAGCATTTCTTTTTGTATGTTTCTTGTTTTTCTGTTTCATAGACTAAAACGTACTTTCTCTTTTATCTCTTCAGCTCAGATGAATTTTCATGAAACAAACCATTTCCTCTTAGCTACTGTAGGAGATAACATCACCTTACCCTGCTCCAATAAAGACAAGTCAGACAAGTCAGTGCTCGATGCTGCACTTTACTGGTACAAGCAAAGTTTAGGCAGTGAAATAGAGCGCATTTCTTCTTTCTCTAAATATAAGCAGATTAAAAATTTACACGGAGAATTCAACAAAAAACGTCGATTCACACTGGATACTGAACATGAAAATAATACCCTAAATATAAAACATGTACAAATGTCCGACTCAGCAGTTTACCTGTGCATAAGTTGTTTTCTACACGATCTAGACGTCATAAAAAGTGTCACTGTGATTGTGAAGAGTTTGAGCCCAACAGTTAAAGTCCGTCAGTCTCCACATGAGGAAACAGAACCAGGAAATAATGTGACTCTAAACTGTAGTGTCCAGACTGAGAGGTGTGAAGGACAGCACAGGGTTCACTGGTTCAAACAGTCTGAAGAGTCTGCAGCAGGAGTCCTGTACAGTCATGGAGGAGGTCGTGTGGGTGATGGGTGCAAGAACAATGGAAAAAGTCCAACCAACTCCTGTGTGTACAGCCTCCCCATACACAATGTGAACTCAGAGCAGACTGGGACCTACTACTGCGCTGTGGCCGCCTGTGGACAAGTCCTGTTTGGAGAGGGGACCCAGATGACAATAAAAGGTGAGTTACATCTGTAATATGGGAAATAATCTTAAAGGTGCACTGTGTAACTTTTCTGGTGGACGATCTGTCATCTGCTTGCCTCTGTGATCACCTTGGATTCTCCATATTAAGGCCTTAAACAAATATATCTTGTATTTATTCAATTACAGTACAATTTTTATTTTTCAAAATTAGTGCAAAAACATACATTATTTCTGTGAATGGTCTCACTTCTCCACAGATCTGACCTGTAACTTTTCCTGGCAGGTGGCAGACCCTATTAGAAAAAACACATCTAAGGCGATTGAAAACGAATAAATATCCTCAGCAAATTTGTTTCCTTCTGTGTAATTTGGTTAAACTAGTCTATTATGAATCCTTTTTCACCTTGTGTGTTTTCCTTTTTGGGTATTCTGCTTTTGTTTTTGTACTTTCCTGTTGCTTCGCTGCTATTTCTTCAATGTGGGATTAATATTATTAGAGTTTGTTTAGTTTTACTCTATTCTAAACGTGCAGTCCAACCACATGACCAAATCCAAAGTTCACTGGTGCTACACTCACTGGTGGCCTCGTGATTTTCTTTTACTGCATCTTTAACTTCATTTTTTCAAATGTGGACACTGTTTACTCCAATATATTTCAAGACAGTGAGGATAAAACACATGTCAGATTCTTTGGTTCTACCAAACTGTTTGGAAAAGATGAGCAGATGCAGTCAGTTAACAGTTTATTTGGTGAAGCACAATATTAAAATAAAAATTTAAAATGAGTATAAAATGGATAAAAGAATCCTAAAAAAACCCCAATGTAATAAAAATAATATTTTAAAAAATCCAGTTTGGTGAAAATCTGAATTAAAATGGGTCGGGTGCTGCGGTCATTGTTTGAAGGTCCGTGAGGATCTGGCGAGATTAGTCCCTCTGGTCTGACCACTGCCACGTCCTGTAGTTGACTGTAAAAAACGAGAGTAAAACAAAGTCTTTCAGACTGCGACTGGGTTCAGCCTTATCATCAGAAGACCCTCTAGTCAGAAAATCCATGTTCAGGTAGTGTTTTCAGTGTACCACAGATCTTGGAGGGTATTTTCCAAATTTTCACCTCAAAGTTCATAAAGACATAAATTTTTATACGAACTTCCAATTTTGCGAACAACTTGAAAATAAGAGGCCTTGATATTTTTAGCTCAGCTCAAAGTATATGTACTATTTAGGCGTGTCATAAAAATGCTCCTGTTCTGGGTATCCCGCCTGGTCGTATTGAAAAGGGCAAACTGTAAGGCATTTTTAACTCAGCTTGTGAGCTAAAATACAAACAGAGTAAAAAACAAGGGCTCTTCTCACATTTGACACATACAAAATGTATTTTACAAATGACTCATGGACCCACCGCTTTGACTCTTCCTGCACTAATCAAGGAATTGTGATCCATTTTTCCTGGACTGGTTCTGATCACTTCTTCTTCTTCTATCAAACTAGAAACTAAATATCATCCAAAAGTTTACAGCTCCAGTGTAGAAGGACTAAACTGTCTTCCTCAGACGCTCAAATGTCTTGTGTTTTTGTAGCGAGAGGAGATAATTCATCCATAATCTACATCCTGAGTGGAGCGTTGGTGTTCTCCTCTGTCCTGGTTCTGTTTCTGGCTTTAACCTTGTGGAGAACGAAGAGGAAATACTGCAGCTCCTCCACAGGTAATTCCAATAAATATTATGTCATTATTTTCATGTATAGTGTTGGTGATTCCAGTAACTTTGCGATCAGATTCTCAGTCATGTCAGAAACATGTCAACAAGGTAAATACACTTTATTGTATTGTCTTTAAAAAGAATCCAAGAAGTTCAAGTACATAAGAAGACAAAATGTACATCTTTGGCTTATTCTCAGTCTGTCTTTGGTTTACTTCAGGGTGATTCATTATTTTCCTCCCCTCATGTTCCTTCCTGATTCATTTTTCTAATATGTGTTGCAAATCTCAAAATGTGTCATCTGTTCAAAAAAGCTGGGACATTTATTTGTAAAACACTTTATATTTCAGAACTCAAATGGCGATCTGGATCATCTTCAACTGCTAAGGGTGAGGTGAGTCGAGACACAAACCATTTTACAGAGTTAACAAAAAGTAGTATAACCGGGTGTTTAGACTATTCTGACTGTGGTGCGTCCGTGAAGGCGTCCACCTGTGCGTCGCTGTGCGTGGCTCCCGGCGTCACTGATTACGGGATTAGAAAAGGCTGCGCACGCCGTAGTGGGGCAGTGGGGGCTTTCGGTGGCTTGTGAAGGCAGCGTGTGTAAGTGCCGGAGTTGTTCTTTCAATATTTCTTATAGAATTTGCCTTAATGCGATGTGTCTGACTACATTTTAAAGGTTGTCTGGAGTAGGCGGTGGTGCCGGCGGCCGCTCGTAACGAGCTCCGAGCCCCATGTAGAGTGCACCCTTCTAAATTTACGGTACATGCTCTTTTGTTGGATACCTGGGGTGGTGGTCGCTCTATCTGAAGCTAATTTATTTTTCCCTGTGTAACAAATTGCCACTGCTGCATTATTCTTCTCTTTATTCTTTATCCTTATTCTTAGTGTTGGTTTTAATTGAATAACAGTAGCCGAGGTCTTGGAGGGAAGTGCAGTATTTGGTCAGGTGGTCAGTGCAGTGCGAGGTTTGGTCTCAGGGTTGGCACAAGTCACTTTAGCCCAAATAGGCCTCCTCAACACGAGCACTTTCACCAGCTTGAATTTTATGCCCTTTATCGTAACGAAGCCGACCTCAGACACCTCGGCACACGCACTTTAAGTATCCATTCACATTATCCAGGTTTACGGAGCATTAGCACTTTAACTTCTTGTAAATGTACTGTTTAACCAGTGTTTGGGTTAAATCCTACGTTTATGACGGTTGAGTGGTGTGTAATTGTATCAAGAAGGGAACCAGAAAATGAAATTGTGTTTTAAATGTTTAGAAGATTAAATAAAGATTTGTAACTCTTATACCACATTGCCCTTGTCCTTTTTTATGCCAGCACGTACTCTGTGAGTAATAAGGGCGCTTGGTACAGTAGTGTTAAAAGTGACTTATTTCCCTGACGTGTTTGGGCAGTAGGACTTGTGTCTTCATCAGAGGTGACTGCTGTGACTCGTCTCTTGTGCTTGTGTGTGTTCAGTGTGTCGACAGATCTGTCACATCTGTCAGACTGAACACTCGTACCACCTCATGTGGACGCGGAGGTAAACACCCCCTCCACTCTGTTGATGGTCCTCTGTTCCGCTTCTTGTTTCCAACAGCCTCTCCACATATGATATGGACATTTTCTGTTATTTGTATAGAGTAACAGTATATCTCTGTGCACTTGAGTCTGGAACACGCTCCCCAACACATCACTGAGCCCAGGCACTTGTTTGTTGGAGTAAGAGTGGTCACCAGGCCTTTCCCATATGTTAAATCGTGGGTCTGGAGCAGGTACCGAGCTCCAAGTGTCACAGACTCATCTCATCAAGTCCTGTGACAGTGACGCCCGATGTTCTCTGTCTGTAAGTGTAGTGAGCTTCAGGACTCATGCAGGTCCCACAACACTTAGAAAGTCAATAAAACCAGTGTGCCCTGACACACTGACCTCTGACCTCTGCACCTGCCACACTGACCTCTGCACCTGCCACACTGACCTCTGCACCTGCCACACTGACCTCTGCACCTGCCACACTGACCTCTGCACCTGCCACACTGGCCTCTGACTGTGAGTGTGACTGAGGTTTGGGTCAAATCCTGCAGCTGTCGTAGTTTGTGTTTGTGTAAATCTGTAAATACAACACCACAGTCAGTGTAAACCCGCCGTGATCCATAAACTTGCCTCTAAACTTACCTCCACTGCAGCTCCACTGCAGCTCTCCACTTGACAGAGTGATTTAAAGGTGAGTCTTTTCTGTTTGGTGATCTCTTTAACACTGTGTGAGTGTTAGATTGTAACCGGACCATCAGCAGAGACAAGGGGCCGTTCACTTTGGCTCACACCGTCACAACAGCTGATAAGACACGTCACAGCAGACAGACACACCTCTGATCAAGGCGGCAGTCCTATCACCAAACATGTCAGGGAAATGAGCAAGACACTGTTTGTCCTACTGGAAGAAAATGTAAAGTTTGCTATAAAAACAAGACAAAATTCATTTTCTGAACATAATTTACTAGAGTTGGTCGGTATCTCACCATACAGTCATCGGTGGTATTTGTACTGAAAACAAGATTGTTGCAACGTTTGTCCCATTTCTGATTGGCCAATCCTCCACTCCCCAATGATTTCAACTTAACCTGATCCTGTAATCTTGTTATCATGTTGCCATGTTACGCCAAATATGTTTACAAACCACTGGAGTGAACATGTTCTTGCTGTTGCAGGGTCAGGAGCAGGACGTGGACTCCCTCCATTACGCTGCTCTGAGAGTCCAGCCTCCGTCCAGAAGACAGAGAGTCACTGCTCACACTGACTGTGTGTACTCTGATGTTCTCCCACACCACTGAACATGGACATGGTTTAAGTGTGCTGGTTTCACATACTTACTGTTACGTAGAGAACAGGGAACTTTGCTGCTCCTGTGCACTTGCATCTGTACAAACATTTGTCCAAACGGAGCCTTTAATTATTCAGACTTATAACATGAAATGCTGAATTCCAGAAAATGGATATGAGAATGTAACAAATCTGTAAAGACAAAAGTTTTGACACATCTCTCAGTCATCCTCTAAAAATGGTTTGGAATCCGTTTCTCCTTCTATGTTCAGTGTGTTTTTGTCAGTACCAGCCCAGGACGAGATTCTGGGGTTTTGTAAACACACCGATTTTTGTTTTCAATAGATTTGATCTAAATGTGTCGCCCCACTACAGCTTTACTGTTTAAAGATGCACTGTGTCACTTTTCTGGTGGAGGGTCAGTCAAATGCTTGTCTCCACAAAGATGTTATTGTTTCACAGTATGGCATTAAAGCTTTCTATCATCATGGAGAGCAAAAAAGACCAAGTAACAGGTCAGATCTGTGGAGAGGTGACCCCGCTTTTTTTCATTTTCGACCAATAAAACCACCTGTAATTGAATAAATGTAAAGTAGAGCTGTTTAATGTCACACTGTGGAACATTCCAGGCAGATCAGTGACATCTCCATAGAAACGAGCAGGTGATGGACCCCAACTGAAAATGTTCACAATACATATTTAAACAGATTAAAATAGGTTTCTCTGCATCTAATTATGAAGTGTTTTATTGTCTGGTAATCAGGAAGTGCACTGTTAGCATTCTAGAGATGTCACATTTCTGCCAAGATTATTTTTTTAGAGTTGTTTTCTTGCTGAGAAGGAAAAGAAGAAGGTGTGTCTCTCTGTTATTGACCACTGACTGTTACACTGTTTGATTTTCACATTTATTGGTTAAACAAATGTAGTTAATATGATGAAGTGAGATTCAGGAGCAGGACCAGGCCTCAGCCGTCCTCTCCTCTCACCAGTGAACCACAACTCACCTCGACCACACCTCGAATTTCCCAGAAGCCCATATGTAGCAGCCTTTCCCATCATCCCAGTTTGTCTCGGCGAACTCGACCCCACCCTCCCATCTCTATTTTGTCTTTCAGTCAGAAGACCCCTACAGGGGGGGTCCCGTTCTGGCTGGGCCAGTTAAAGACTGAGACGCCCCCACCTAGAGTCTCACCATCTCCACCACCCAGCCATCTCCGCACCGCTTCATACATTATCAGTAAACTTCTTTGCACGTCGTTGTTGGTGTGGTCCCAGCTAGTGAAATGATCTTGTTGAGCCCTAAGAGGCGACATGTCCTTTTGGGCTTTACAAAAATGAAAGTTTTTGGATTAAAACCACAAACGTGACATTTGGAATGCAAACGATTCCCATGAATAACAACTGTCCTTGTTAAAATATGACTATAAAAGTGGCTTGACAGAAAACCTTAAATAATAAGTCTTAACAAATGCTACAAATGGAACAGTCTTCTGTTACATTTCAGACATTTTAACTCCATCCAAGTCTCCTCAGGAGCCTTTTCAGTCTGGGCCTCGGTTTTGGAACGACCTGCCTGAGGAAATAAGACTCACACCATCACTATAATTTTTTTAATCACCTCTTAAAACACACACATCGGTTGGCTTTCCTTTTCTTTTTATTCTGTTTCTGTTTATTTATTTATTATAATTTATTGGATTGTTTTCATTATTATCTGTTTTTGTGCTTTCTGTGTCCTGTTTTTATTATTTTTGTATTGTTCATTGTTGCTTGTGTAGCAGAGCAGCATATTTGTACATGTACTTCAAGGTAGTAAAGTTGCCAACAACGCCACCTGGTAATGCCAGGACACAGTGTTTTTCCCCACCCACTATAGACACACAGGTTCGTTGACTGAATATGGCGTGAGACTTGAATATACTTTACATTGAATTTATTATCCATTTTTGCAAAGGGTTAATAACAAATATCCTCCACCAGTCCTGTGCGTTCATTGGGTCGCATGGCCTCGTTGCTTGGAGTTACCTTAGGACCATTATCACAGTCAATATTGCGCCTCGCAGTAGCTCTTCCCCAAGACGAAGACTTCAGAGAGCGAGTCCTTTCACCAAGGGCCACGACCACAGAACAGACCAGGTACACGGAGAAAGAAAATAGAAAGAAAAGGGGAGGCTTCCCGCCAGCAGGAGCCTAAATATAACATGTTACATTTAACGTACAATACACACGACAAAGAGGAACACAAAATAAACCATAGCGACATACCGTGTAGAATTCACCGCGGCACGCCACCCAAACACGCAGAGGACCGCCCAGCGCCGAGACACAAAAGCTAAAAACACAACCTGCGTTAACCTCACACACGGCGTTACTGAGCCAGCAAGACGATTTCCCCACTTACCCCCACGATGCCCGCACACTCTCCGCAATTACTGCGCTGAACACCTTGCAACAGTAAACTTAGTGCGCCTAAACGTGGTCCACTCGGGGCCTCGCGTCTTGCGGCCATGACAGCTTGGCTCCGCCAGCGTGCAACGTCAGCGGTCGGCGTTCAGGAGGGAGGGCGAGCGTAGCGCATAGTGCCCCTTTTATAGGCGGGTTTGTGACCCATAAACCCGATACTATCACATTTGCCCCCCCAAATTGCATCGGCGACCCGACGATGGAAATTTTAAGAACCAGTCATTCCCAGACAGGCGTGGTAATCATATCAAAACCCTCTCTGTTTTACCCTAGATGCATCACCTTCCGTCCCCGAATATTCGGCATGACGCAACTCGTAAAACGGTAACGCTATTTAAAACAAAATTGCCGTACTGTTGCAGCGGCGCACTCGACCGCGATCATTCCAAAAGTCCACGATTAAAAGGAAATGCCCTAAAGGCTTAAGAGTTACTTGGGGCCCACGTACTTTTAAACCAGCTACTCTCCCACGAGCCTACACCAGTCATTTTCAACAAGTACGCCGCCATGACACCTAGACCCCTGGGGCCTGCGATGAGAGCAGCCCCACTATGCCCCCCACCACACCTGAAAATCCTACCCCGGACGTCGAGCTTTCGCAGAAGCCTCCCCTTTATCTCTTTGAAACAGTATCAGTCGCAATTCCACCATCTACATACAAATACAGACAAGAGGTAAAAAGAAAACATTGCATACATTTTCAGTGTGCCCTGTAGCCGTCACAGAAATAACATTTTGCCTAAGTCCACCTGTACCAAGCACAGAACAAAATATGCATTCCAACATAAAACTACACACAAAATAAAAATGCAAACCACACTAGAAACTTCACATGAATGCATTAAACACAGGGGGGGTCATAGCCTACGATATCCTGTACGCACAGCCTTAGCAGCACCATTATATATACACACAATGTAATCTTAATTCCTCTATGTCACCACACACAGAGAAGTACATTAGTCTGCCATAATTCAGTCATCCTGCCGACAACGCCAAATGTAGCAGAGCAGCATATTTGTACATGTACTTCAAGGTAGTAAAGTTGCCAACAACGCCACCTGGTAATGCCAGGACACAGTGTTTTTCCCCACCCACTATAGACACACAGGTTCGTTGACTGAATATGGCGTGAGACTTGAATATACTTTACATTGAATTTATTATCCATTTTTGCAAAGGGTTAATAACAAATATCCTCCACCAGTCCTGTGCGTTCATTGGGTCGCATGGCCTCGTTGCTTGGAGTTACCTTAGGACCATTATCACAGTCAATATTGCGCCTCGCAGTAGCTCTTCCCCCAAGACGAAGACTTCAGAGAGCGAGTCCTTTCACCAAGGGCCACGACCACAGAACAGACCAGGTACACGGAGAAAGAAAATAGAAAGAAAAGGGGAGGCTTCCCGCCAGCAGGAGCCTAAATATAACATGTTACATTTAACGTACAATACACACGACAAAGAGGAACACAAAATAAACCATAGCGACATACCGTGTAGAATTCACCGCGGCACGCCACCCAAACACGCAGAGGACCGCCCAGCGCCGAGACACAAAAGCTAAAAAACACAACCTGCGTTAACCTCACACACGGCGTTACTGAGCCAGCAAGACGATTTCCCCACTTACCCCCACGATGCCCGCACACTCTCCGCAATTACTGCGCTGAACACCTTGCAACAGTAAACTTAGTGCGCCTAAACGTGGTCCACTCGGGGCCTCGCGTCTTGCGGCCATGACAGCTTGGCTCCGCCAGCGTGCAACGTCAGCGGTCGGCGTTCAGGAGGGAGGGGCGAGCGTAGCGCATAGTGCCCCTTTTATAGGCGGGTTTGTGACCCATAAACCCGATACTATCACACTTGTATAGCACTTTGTAAACCTTGTTTATAAAAGTGCTTTTTAAATAAAGATGCATTATTTTTTATTATTATTATTATTATTATTATTATTATTATTATTATTATTATTATTATTCACAAAAAGAAAACATAGAAGACATGTAAATGAGATACTAGTGTGCTGTACATTGTTCAGACTTGTATATAGTTCATATATTAGAACCAGCAGTGTGGATGACATGAACATGATCACCACATCTTATCTCACCTTTTCATTTTGACAGAGAGCACAAGTTTACCCACAACACCATGACCGTATCAGACTACAGTGCAGACAGCACATTTGTTCAGTTTACAAGGAAACGGGTAATCTTGCACTTTTTTGCATCTGTCACCCTCAGCCAATCAAATGCAAGACTAGACTTGAAAAAGCAGTGACCACATTCACACCTTTTACTGTTCTGCACAATCTTCAATGATGTTCTCTGTTCAGACTCTCTTTACTCTTGCGCTGGTCAGTTCAGGTAAGCAGAATTGTACTATTAATCCAAATATGTTCCTGTCACTCTAGAACGCTTTGAAAGTTTTGTTTTCATTTGTCTTTTTAGCGTCGATGTCTGACCTGCCATTGTCTGTAAATCAACAAGAACAAGGCAGTTTCCTCTTAGCGTCTGTTGGAGATAACATCACCCTACCTTGTCGTTCTGCAAAAAATGTTAAGGATGGAGCTAGACTTAACTGGTACAAACAAAAATTGGGCATGAAGCCAATGGTCATCTGTTCATACTATAAATATGACCAAAAGAGTGAATTTTATGGAGAATTTCTCAGTGACAATCGTTTCCAGCTGGATAATGACAATGACAAAAATAACTTACACATCAACAACATAAACATCTCTGATTCTGCTGTTTATCACTGTGTGCGATCCTTTTTACACCAAAGTGAGTTCCAGGAAAGTGTCACTGTGATTGTGAAGAGTTTGAGCCCAACAGTTGAAGTCCGTCAGTCTCCACATGAGGAAACAGAACCAGGAAATAATGTGACTCTAAACTGTAGTGTCCAGACTGAGAGGTGTGAAGGACAGCACAGGGTTCACTGGTTCAAACAGTCTGAAGAGTCTGCAGCAGGAGTCCTGTACAGTCATGGAGGAGGTCGTGTGGGTGATGGGTGTAAGAATGATGAAAAAAGTGCAACCAACTCCTGTGTGTACAGCCTCCCCATACACAATGTGAACTCAGAGCAGACTGGGACCTACTACTGCGCTGTGGCCGCCTGTGGACAAGTCCTGTTTGGGAACGGGACCAGGATCACAGTAAAAAGTGAGTTATATCATATTTATATCAAATACAGTGTTTTTTTGTTTTTCATTTTGTTGTAAATTGTTCATTTGTAGGTGTCTCAGACAGTATGGTTTATGTTCTGAGTGGAGTTTCCATATTCAGCACCAGCCTGGTCGTTTTACTCACATTTTGCTTCTGCGTCCAAAGCAAGACAGGTAAATAACTCATGATACTGTTCAATCTAAAAATATGGTACTATTGGTATATAAATATGGTATATTATACTGAGTATTAAGGGGTCGAGAATATAAATAGTGTAAGGTTGGTAATGTTACACAAGAATATGTCAAAACACTTATGGGTTTGTTCAGTAGTTACTATCCAATACACAATTACACTAAAGAGGCTTAGGTTAGACTTTTTTGTCCCAGAAGGGAAAATGTGTCTTCTGCATTTGACCCATCCTTCAATGCCGCCTGTCAGGAGTTGGACCCAGGGACCAATCTCCACATGTTGAGTTAGTTTTGGTCAGGACGGCCTTAGTTGGACAATTGTAACTGCGGTGCACACAATTATTCACACCAACAAAAAAATACAGCAATCAAAGTGATAATGCAGGTAGAAGGTAGGATTATGTGCACAGTGGGATTAGATTGTGTCACAGATTCTTTAATTTATACACTCCGAGGAGGAAAAACAAGATTAAATTGAACACTTCTTTTCTTTTGCAGACACATGCATGAGAAATTCTACAATAAAGACTGAGGTATGAGCGTGTTTACTGTGATCTCTTAATTTACATTTTCACCGGTCTTATATTGTTTTCACTTTCCAGGATTTCTCCAAACTTGTCCAGTACAAGACCACAGAACAGATGAACAGAAGGAGCAGACACACACCTGACACATGGACTCAATGTGTCTACTTCTGTGGCAAGAAGTAAAAGGGAAAAAAAAATATATTTACAGATATGTTGCCATCATAGACTGTATATGAAAGGAGCTGTCACACCTTGACGATTTAGCCAGCGTATGCCAACATGAAAAATTTGGCAAATACCCTGGTGTATGTCGGGTAAGTTCTAGGTAAGTTTAGTATAAATTCTGAGCACGCTGAAGCACGCTGGCATACGGCGACGTACGGCAAGGTCATCGGAAAATTTTGAGCATGCTTAAAATTTCTCGCCATATGTCAGTGTGTGCTTATACGTCCTGCATAGGTGGGCCATAAGTTGTAGGTAAGTTATCCGAACATTGACACACGTTCACACACATTAATTGTAAGTTAGTCAGAAGTCCAAATACACTGAGATAATGTCTCGCATACCCATGCCCATAAGTAACGTGTTTTGAACCTGTGTGTAACTTATATCCAACTTACCTAAAACACATATTGACGTATGCAGATGTATTTGACATGTTCCAGACGCCAACAGAACTTACTGAACGTGTTTCTAACTTGTAGCTACTGTATAATGGCGTATTGGCAGTGTTTAGGGAAATTAGTTTATAACATTGGGGAGGAAACCGTCAGTACTCCTCCAGATTAATGGTTAGCAGATCAGGTGGTAACAACCGCTACACATATCGTCTGGCAAGGCTGACACGAGAAGACATAGTAGCTGTCCTCCAACATCAGCATGATCTCACTGATTTGACACTGTGCCAGTTGTGTGCCAGTATGGCCAGGAGAAGAAGAGATTAACGGTGAAGAAGGAACTGGGTGACACCATGAATCGGGAGTTATGAAGTTATGAAAGCAGTTATGAATCATCGAGCAGCAGCCTTTTTATATACTGCCATGCGCTGTGCATAAGTTAAACTGCCGGGTATAGGTTGTGGATGCTGGAAACATGCCAAGGATTAGTTGGTATAAGTTATATGTAAGTTCTCAAAACGTTCTATATAAGTTACTGATACATTATGTATACGCCCAACTGAATACGAATACTCTATATACAGCCAAATAAAAAAAATAAATAAAAAAACATCAGTCGTGTCAAGGTGTGACAGGGTCATAACTAACTCCCACAGCCGTGCTTCTGGCTCCATCGACTCCAATCACTTTCTATTAAAAAATCACATCATTTTGGTCTTAAAACGTTCATATTAACTGGCTTTACTGATCCTAGTGCTATTTTCCCGTTTTCTGCCTTAATGAGCTTCATTTGACTGGAGCCGAACACTTGGGCCAATGGGTGACATCACACTCCTGTAGTCCGCTTCTTTATACAGTCTATGGTTGTCATTTAAACTGATCTATCTTCTTTGCTGCTGTAAAACGCTTGAGTTGCATTTGTGTAATTTGCATCATTTTATATCTGCAATATGTTTTCCTATCAAGCCATTTTATAGTGTGAGTTGTGTTATGATGTTTTATTGTGTGTTTATGTCTTATACCTTGTTCTTTAGGGCCTTTTAATACAATATTTTTATGATTTTAATGATGGTTATTATTACAACATTATGACTGCATTTCTCTGTTCTACTTTTCATTTCATTTTTTATGGTCAGTTTAACTTTATGACACCTTTGTTGTGTTTTGTAAGTTATATGAATGAAATAAATAATGTGTGACCAGCAATACGAGTCGGCTCCTTAACCTGGATCTCAGGTTTTAAAAGAATCAAATAGTTTTCTTTTCAGCTACAAATGCTGAACCAACACAAGAAACAGCACAGAGGCAGAGCAGGCAACACAAGTGAGAGATTTAATCATTATTTTTATTGTAGTGCAATTTTTTATTTCAATTATGCATCATTTCAAAGTGTAAATGCACACTGTCAGTTTAAACCATTTTAAACAAATCGCAGCCTTGGTTATTTTTCTTCTCTGTGTTAGTTTGTTGTTAAAATTAGTTCTCACTCAGTCAATTACAAATAGTAAACAAAATAACTGCAAAAGGGAATCAGATGTGTGTGACTGCAAACCTCCATTCAAACAGTTTCCCTTCCTAATGGAATTGAAAAATAGTGAAAGCGATGGGCAGGATTGATCCACAGGAAGAACCAAAAAGGAAACCTTTGGCTGCCTAAATCATCCCGAGTTTGCAGTGAACATTTTGTATGTGGAGTGCTCAGCCTTGGTTACGAATTCAACAAATCAACTCTAAGGCGAAAGGCACCAGCTGTTCACCAAGAAACACCTTCCACTGTAAAGAGACCAAGACGTGATGTTGCTGTAAAACCACAAGAACAAGAAAGTGCAGCTCAGTCTGTTTGTCTTCTGTACCTCTCGCTTAACAAACGGGATCCCGATTTAATGGCGCTCCACTGTTCACTGCAAACTCAGGATGATTTAGGCAGCCAAAGTTTTCCTTTTTGGTCCTTCCCGTCCTTCGCCTTTCAATATTTTTCAATTCCGTTAGTAAGGGAAAAAGTTTGAACAGAGGTTTGCACTCACACACATCTGATTCCCTTTTGCATTTATGGAGTTCGCAAACTTCAGAAGCAGATTTCTCGAGCCATTTTCCAGTGTTAGGATCCAACAACCACACAATTACGATGTCCAAATTCCATAACTAAAATATGTCAATATCAGAACCAGAAATAAAAGTGATATGGTTCAAAAGACTAGAAAAGATCGACTTTGTCAATAGACACATCCCACTGGGAAATCAAACATGGCGGTTTGATGCTCACTTTTTCGGAAAATCATTCCCAGTATGCATTGCTCAATGACCGGAAGTCAGAAATTTGTGATGCATGTATGGAGCTACTGCCAGGAGTGAAACAAACACTCCCATCTCAGTACTGACTATGGAGTTGTATCCTGGAGGGGTCGGCAGCATGTTGGAGAAGATCACAAAAAGATTAGCGGACATTGACTGTAGGTTGGATGGAACTGTGGCTCTAAATCGCAACATGCATAATATTTCAAAGATAAGTGATGCCTTGCATAGAAAGATGGGAAGACCTTAGAACCAATGGACAAAGAGAGCAGTGGAATATGGAATATGTAAATTGGACACAGCTGCTCGCTCTAAAACCTAAACAACCCAATCTTATCTTTTGGCCTCCCCGAGCCAGCAACGGTCATGACCAAGGCCGGTCAGAGTCAAATCGCACTCATCCTGGTCCCTCCGGAATCCCTCGCAGCTTCTTTTGTATCCAGCGCTTTTTAGCTGTGGACCGGATGGTTGGGTCAACTCTACACCCCTTCCCTACCCTGGTGCTAGTCCTGTGAAATGTTTGTACTGTGTTTTGATTATGTACTGATGTGCAGAGATGTTTTTTGTGCACTCCCCCAAACCATAAACTTATATCAGAGCATGGTCTGGGGCAGTTCTCTCTTTTTTTTTTTTTTCTCCTCCCTCTAGCCTCATGTTATGCTGCAGTGTTTATTCCTACCTGCTACCTGTCTCCCGGTCCAGTCCACATAGTCATCCCCATGTATTGTATTGCTTTGTATGTTTGTTATGGACGGACGGGGGGAAAGGTTCAATTTCGATTCCTTTGTACAGTATGTACATGCCACGTGGAGAGAATTGACAGTAAAGGCCCTTCAATTCTGTTTTGTCCACTCTTCTTCAATCTCATAATAAATCAATAGACAACAGATCAAATGAAACAAAACTGGCACCAAATTCAATGCAAAGCTTCACTTTTTGTTTGGGAAAAGTAACATCAGGTCTGTGTTTGTTCTGTTAAAGTACAAGTGCTTGTATAGTCTGTGGTGAAGGCCGTTGGTGTTCTGAGCTTGTTTGAAGTTTGTGTCTCTGCAGTAAAGCTTGTGGTTTCCATCAGGAAGTCAGAGTGAGTTTAAGAGAGTCCGACCAGCAGGCAGTCCTGTATCTGAACACACCAAACACAGAGAAAATATCAGTCATGTCAAAAACACACAACGCTCCACAATCAGTTCAGTTCAGTCAGTGAGTTGGGTCATTTTCTGAGTCATCATGAGGAAGATGTACAGTGACTTAGTGTAAGTTCACATGTTCCTGTTCTCTGGTCCTGGCAGCCACAGCTACTTCCTGTTAGACTGCGGGAGCCTCTGTAAAAGGCACAACAAATCATTGCTCCCACCTGATTTTGTAGCACAGTGTCACTCACATGCAGAGGAGAAATCTCCCAATGCAAACCATAAAATGAACCTAAACCAGAACAGATGATGGACATTTAAGTGGAGAAGTATTATCGCACTGTGTAATAATGCACTGTGCCCCCTCATGCCTTTTTGAAGGACGGCAGATGGAAATTAGCTTCAAAAACAAAAATCAGTGTATGTTCAGTGATATTTTTATACACTACCAGTCAAAGGTTTGGACAGACTTTTTCTTTTATCTTTTTATTTCCATGATTTGTAAGATTTGTATTGTAGATTCTCACTGAAATCATCGAAGCTATAAATGACACATATGGAATGTTGTTAACAAAAAAAAAAAAAAAAAAAGACACAACTCATAAAACTTGTTTCAGGAGACTTCATCATTGAAGCTCAAGCTCAGTGAGAAAAAGGTTTGCAGAGCTGTCGACAAAGCAAAGGGTGACTATAATTGAGTTATTTATCTTTTTTTTTACTACATCATTCTATATATCTTCAATCATATATTTGAGGTCTTCAACGTGTAAATAAAATGTAGAAAATAGCAAAAAACAAAACAAGAAAAAAAACAAAACACAGAATGAGAGGATGTATCCATCTATTCCTCTGCTCCAACCGCACAAACAGATGATTTTAAAGCTTAAGTTTTAGCTCAATAATCCACCATAACTTAAATAAAGCTTAGTGCATTTGTTAAACCTCAGACTTGTGACACCATGATGAGGTCACACGGTACATTACATTACAGCCAATCATTTTACCAGGCAACTTTTTGACGAGCCAATCAAATTCAAGCTTGACACTTTAGAGCAGAGGTGGTATCAATAGTTTCCACTGTGCATCTGATTCTCAAGATGATCCAACCATCTACAGTTCTGTTCGTCCTAAGTCTTGTGTCGGCCAGTAAAGGTGAGCTGTTGTAAGTTTCTTGTTTTTCTGTTTCATAGACTAAAAAGTATTTTGTCTTTTATCTCTTCAGCTCAGGTGAATCTTCATGAAAGAAACCATTTCCTCTTAGCTACTGTAGGAGATAACATCACCTTACCCTGCTTCAAGTCAGGGCTCGATGCCACACATTACTGGTACAAGCAAAGTTTAGGCAGTGAAATAGAGCGCATTTCTTCTTTCTCTAAATATTACCGGATTAAAAATGTACACGGAGAATTCAACAGAAACCATCGATTCACACTGGATACTGAACATGACCAGAATAACCTAAATATAAAACATGTACAAATGTCCGACTCAGCAGTTTACCTGTGCATAAGTTGTTTTCTACACGATCTAGACGTCATAGAAAGTGTCACTGTGATTGTGAAGAGTTTGAGCCCAACAGTTGAAGTCCGTCAGTCTCCACATGAGGAAACAGAACCAGGAAATAATGTGACTCTAAACTGTAGTGTCCAGACTGAGAGGTGTGAAGGACAGCACAGGGTTCACTGGTTCAAACAGTCTGAAGAGTCTGCAGCAGGAGTCCTGTACAGTCATGGAGGAGGTCGTGTGGGTGATGGGTGCAAGAACAATGGAAAAAGTCCAACCAACTCCTGTGTGTACAGCCTCCCCATACACAATGTGAACTCAGAGCAGACTGGGACCTACTACTGCGCTGTGGCCGCCTGTGGACAAGTCCTGTTTGGGAACGGGACCAGGATCACAATGAAAAGTAAGTTATATAATTAAAAAAGACAGTGATTTTGTTGTTAACTTTGTTGTAAATTGTTCATTTGTAGGTGTCTCAGACAGTATGGTTTATGTTCTGAGTGGAGTTTCCATATTCAGCACCAGCCTGGTCGTTTTACTCACATTTTGCTTCTGTGTCCAAAGTAAGACAGGTAAATAACTCATGATACTGTTAAATCTACAAATGTGCCAACATTAAACTGAGTATTGAGGGGTCGAGAATTTAAACAATGTGAGGTTGATAACGTCACGCAAGAGACAAAAAAATCCACCAAAAACTCAACTTTTACATGTATAATATGTCAAAACACTTATGGATTTGTTCACAGTTATTATCCAATAAACAATTACACTAAAGAGGTTTAGTTAGACTTTGTTGTCCCAGAAGGGAAAATGTGTCCTCTGCATTTGACCCATCCTTCAATGCCGCCTGTCAGGAGCAAAGTGCCACAGTGCTGGACCCAGGGACCAATCTCCACATGTTGAGTCCCCCCCCCATATATACAACAATTTAAACAGAAACATAAAATCTAAAAACTAATAAACATAAAGCTCTTAAAAGTTATAGTAAAAATGAAAATGTATAGCTAAGATCAGATGGAGACTAAGTAAAATAGTAATGATAATTTAATTTAGAACAACCATAATAATAACAATAATAATGATAATTTAAGTTAAAACAGGTAAAAGTTTCAGTTAAAAGCTAAATTAAAAAGATACGTTTTAAGTTTACTTTTAAAAATCTGAACACTCGCAGTGGACCTCAGATCCTCAGGTCGACTGTTCCACAAACGGGGGCCATAAAAGCTAAATGACGCCTCACCGTGAGTTTTAGTTTGGACTCTTGGGACAGTTAAAAGAAGACTACCTGAGGACCTGAGAGTTTGAGAGGCTCATTTGATAAAAACAGATCAGATAAATAAATAGGACTAAGACCATTAAGAGCTTTATAAACCAAGAAAAGAACTTTAAAATCTATCCTGAAGCTCACAGGAAGCCAGTGCAGAGACTTCAGTACTGGGGTGATGTGCTCTCTCTTCCTGATTTGTCCCCAAGCAGCAATTAAAGTCACACAGAGCAGCACATTCATTCACAAAAACACACAGTGACAAATACAATAATCATGTCTTTCATGTATAATATTGTAACGTGTCCATTTAGGTTTAACTTCCATCCTTTTCTCCAAAGGATTCCATGAAGTTCAAGAAGTAGAGCTTCTGTCAGTTTAGCACTGACATGTTCAGAGAAAGGAGTTTTACTTTGGAATATAGTTGTGTTATTTTGGTCATGAAGTCTTAAGATTCAATCAAAGATTCCAGTCATAAGATTTAAGAAAAGATCAGTTTGGACCAAATGGTTCCTTAAAACTCAGGTACTGATTATTTCACTGTGAAGGGAAGAAGAGGTCATTTTAATGTCACTTGTGTTCACATGCATCATTTACAAACATGTGCCAAGTATTAGAACTACTGTTTTCAGACGGCAAAGAAACACTTCTTCTTGTGTGTGTGATGAATAAAAGATTTTACAGTCAGCTGCAGACAGAACCCAGGACTCTGAGTTTAGAACAAAGTACTGCATTTACAATATACTCCAAGAAGGAAACACAAGAATAAATGTAATACTTCTTTTCTTTTACAGAGACATGCATGAGAAATTTTCCAGCAAAGACTGAGGTATGAGTGTGTTTTCTGTAATCTCTTAATTTACATTTTCACAGATTTACTTTTGTTTTCATATTCCAGGATTTCTCCAAACTTGTCCAGTACAAGACCACAGAACAGATGAACAGAAGGAGCAGACACACACCTGACACATGGACCGAATGTGTCTACTTCAGCGTCAAGAAATTAAAGAAGGGAAAAAAAAGAATAAATAACTTAATAAAATGATCTATCTTATTTGCTGCTGTAAATAATATGTGTTCTATTTGATTTTTACATTGTATTTGTGTTTATGTTTTTCTATTAAGCCATTCTCTAGTGTCAGTGTGGTGCATTATGGGGTTTAATTGTGTGTTTATTTGTTGTTTTGCACTGTGCCCAGAAAGGCACCATTAAATAAAATACATTTGAATGATTATTATGTGTTGTGTAATGTTTTTATTCATTTACCTTCAATGTTTAAGCATTAACTTTGTGGTGAGCTAAAGAACCAGAGCCTGTGCACAGAATATATGAAGTAAACAGTCACATTTATACAGCTCTACGTCCAACGACCCCTCACACTTCACCAAAGAACCAGTCTCTGTTCACACACTCATACAGCAGTGTGCACAAATACTGGAGGGAAAACAGGATAAATGTCTTGCCCAAGGATACAACAACAGTATGCACCTGAGCTGGGATCAAACCGCCAACCTGTGGGCTAATAGATCTGACAGCTCTAACAATGGAGCTACTGCCAGGAGTGAAACAAACACTCCCATCTCAGTAGTGACTATGTAACTGTTCTGTTTTGTCCACTCTTCTTCAATCTTATAATAAATCAATAAACAGTGGATCAAATGGAACAAAACTGGCACCAAATTCAGTGCAAAGCTTCACTTTTTGTTTGGGAAAAGTAACATCAAGGTCTGTGTTTGTTCTGTTAAAGTACAAGTACTTGTATAGTCTGTGGTGAAGGTTGTTGGTGTTCTGACCTCGTCTGAAGTCTGTGTCTCTGCAGTAAAGCTTGTGGTTTCCATCAGGAAGTCAGAGTGAGTTTAAGAGAGTCAGAGCCACACACACAGTCCTGTGTCTGAACACACTGTTGATTTCTGTTGTTTCAGGCATGGATATGTTTCTTACACTTCCTTTAATGATGATACAGCAGGATTCATCAGGACGACATACAGGCCAAAAGTCTCAGAGAGTCTGTGAGCGTCTGTGAGGCTTTCTGACAGTCTGAGGGTCTGTGAGTCCAACCAAAGCTTTAGGATTGTCCTTTTATAAATGTTTCATCTTCAGCTGATAGTTTTACCCTGGAATCCTCCAGACTTTCTGCAGCTTGTACGATAAATCAAAGGAGCAAGCATCATCTAAGGTGACTGAGCAGAACATTTAGCACTTGAACTGTAACAAGCATCAAGGATTTGAAGTCAATACACTGAGATTATTGTTCACAGCAAACACAGTGAAAATATCAGTCATGTCAAATTCCATCAGTGAGTTGTGTCGCTGACACTGTGTAGGGCTTTTTGTATTTGTTTTTTTGAGTCATAATCAGGAGGAAACACACAATGCCTCAGCCTACGTGAACATATCACACTCGTCCTGTGTGTCTCTGCTGTCTGAAAGTTCACAACAAATCACTGCTCCAGCTGTTTATTGGTGTCGCACTCACAGGAATTTATTTTGAGCGTGTTTCTCAAACAGAGAAGGTGCTTCCTCTTGTATCCTTTAGAAAGAACACTAAACTTCTCTTGTTCACTTGTTGTTTCACATGACTGACTGGATCACACACTTCACAGAAACAATATCCCAAGTGGGTTTTTGAATGTTGCGTTTCTTATTTTGGAACAGGTCAGTTTGTTTGAGAGTTTTTGACTGTTGCTTTGTTTTGCTGTTTGAAAAAGCACTTCCAGAGCTTCACACTTGCCTCAGTGTTTATGTACCAGAGGGTTTGTGAGAGCGAGGAGTCAGCGCAGGACCAGTCATATCCAGTTATTGTTTTTATTCCTCATTTCACATGAAGTGATCTTTAACATGATTCCTCTGTAAGACTTTATAACTGCCACACGGACAAAAACTTTAACAAATACTTCATTTATAAAGGAGAGTTTATAAAGAACTGGTTACAAAGGGTGAGTCCAACATGCACTGGGAACAGGTCTGACTTTACTGCCGCCAATGAACACAGCTCCTGCTCACAATTATTCAGGCTCAGTAACTACTTATACCATCTTAAGTGTCAAATCCAGATGTTATCAAAAATTAAATAAAGGCACACAATTAAAAGACAATCATAATTATGATTATGAAAAATAAAATCTAAAAGGTAAAGAGAGATAGGAAAAGAAAGAGGAGAGAATAATTAGCAGTATTCCATAAACAAACCCTCATTTCTTCATTGCCAAGGTTTAGTAATTCTACAGATTCCTCTGCTCATGATGCCCCCCTGAAGTATCTGAGCCTTTCTTAAACCTCAGACTTGTGACACCATGATGAGGTCACACTGTACATTACATTACAGCCAATCATTTTACCAGGCAACTTTTTGACGAGCCAATCAAATTCAAGCTTGACACTTTAGAGCAGAGGTGGTGTCAATAGTTTCCACTGTGCATCTGATTCTCAAGATGATCCAACCATCTACAGTTCTGTTCGTCCTAAGTCTTGTGTCGGCCAGTAAAGGTGAGCTGTTGTATGTTTCTTGTTTTTGTGTTTCATAGACTAAAAAGTATTTTGTCTTTTATCTCTTCAGCTCAGGTGAATCTTCATGAAAGAAACCATTTCCTCTTAGCTGCTGCAGGAGATAACATCACCTTAAAATGTTCCTATGAAGACAACAGCAAACTGCACGGTGCCACACATCACTGGTACAAGCAAAGTTTGGGCACAAAACCAAAGCTGATTTCTTCTTTTGCCAAATATCACCTGATAGAAAGTTTGCAAGGAGAATTCAACAAAAGCCGTCGATTCACACTGGATACTGAACATGACCAGAATAACCTAAATATAAAACATGTACAAATGTCCGACTCAGCAGTTTACCTGTGCATAAGTTGTTTTCTACACGATCTAGACGTCATAGAAAGTGTCACTGTGATTGTGAAGAGTTTGAGCCCAACAGTTAAAGTCCGTCAGTCTCCACATGAGGAAACAGAACCAGGAAATAATGTGACTCTAAACTGTAGTGTCCAGACTGAGAGGTGTGAAGGACAGCACAGGGTTCACTGGTTCAAACAGTCTGAAGAGTCTGCAGCAGGAGTCCTGTACAGTCATGGAGGAGGTCGTGTGGGTGATGGGTGCAAGAACAATGGAAAAAGTCCAACCAACTCCTGTGTGTACAGCCTCCCCATACACAATGTGAACTCAGAGCAGACTGGGACCTACTACTGCGCTGTGGCCGCCTGTGGACAAGTCCTGTTTGGAAACGGGACCAGGATCACAATAAAATGTGAGTTATATCTGTTATTATTATTACCTGACCTTGGGAAATAATCTCATGTGAAGTGCAATTGTTCACAAAGGCTACCATTGTAAAGGAATACAGTAAATATTCTTGGCCAATACAGTTCTTGCCTCCACAGGAGATGTAGTACAGTGCAGTAAAGTGTGACTGTTGTTAAACCAGCCTATTGTAAATCTTTTAAGTAAACTTTTTTATGACATTCTACTACGTTTTTAGCATTCTACTACTACTGTACTTTTCTACTGCATCACCAAAATTCATTCATTGTGGGTTGAAATTTTCTTTGACTAAATTCAGTTATGCTCTGCTTTACACAGTTCTATGCTGTAAACCCACTGGACACTGGTTACACTGTGAATTTGAACTTGAGTCATTTTATAAGATTTTTATTAAGAATGAACATTTTAAAAAGTGTGACACCTAAACTGCAAGAAAGTGTTGACAATAAAGCTACATCCACTTGGACGTCTGTTTTTGTCTCACAAATGACCCTTGGGTTCTTTTCATGAAGTCTTCCCAGAGTCATTCAGGACCTGTGATTATGTTTATGTTCTAGTCTAGGGTGACCATATTTCCGTTTGTGAAAACCCGGACACCTTACCGTGGGTGGGGACCTCGACATTGAGCTACTCTCACCTCACAACCTGTGCACATGGCCTCGCACTTGTCCCGAGCGGGATGGAAAACGGAGAATTTTTTGTACAAGTCATTGTTAAATGCGCATTTGTGCTTCGGCATGTTGCAGACTGACCGACTGTTTGTGTCTCGCTCTTTCTGAGTCACAGAGCTAAACAAAAACAAAACCTGGACGCCCTGGAAGGACGCAAAAAACTGACATGTCAGGGGAAAAATGGACGCTTGGTCACTCACACTGCCTTTACCAGGAAACTGATAAACAACTCTAGCCGCTGTTGTTTACAGCCTAATTTAAACTGCATTCTCCGCTCTCCTTTGTTTAAACCATCATTAGTCTTCACGTCGAGTACTTCATATTTGAGTCTTCTGTCAATTGTTAAAGCTCCAGGATGTGAATACCGAATACGATCTGAAATACTCAATGACTTCAACTAAACCAACTGGACTTCTTTAACTTTTGAAACTGACTTTTCTCTACTATCCAGACAGCTTCATCAGGGCTCGTGTGGGTGACTGTAACTCCCACCCGATGTAGAGGCAGGTGGTCAAGTTTTGGTGATGACAAAAAAAAAAAAAAAAAGATCTGGGGCACTCTTCGTGGCTCTGTCCCAGGTGTGAGAGCTGAAGCACAGTTCTCTTTGATCCTAAGGTCGGCCTCAAAGATCTTTCATACAGGGCGTCCTTCACCCACTGCTACATCTGGTGGGAGTCACCGTCACTGACACAAACCCTGAAATGTTCCACAGTATGACATTAAACCAGCTCTATCTTACATTTACTCAATTACAGGTGGTTTTTGGAGCTCCAAAAATAAAAAGGAAAACAGACATTCTGACTGTGAGCTGGATCTGTAACTTGATCTGGTTTGTTCTCCATAAAGATTTAACTCCATAATCTTGTTTAAAGTTCAAAGGCTTAATGCCATACTGTGAACCATTCCAGACAAAGGAATAACATCTCCATGGAGACAAGCATCTGACAGAAGTGGGTAGCAGTAGCTCAGTTGGTAGAATGTTTATCCACTGATCTGAAGGTTGGCGGATCGAATTCTGCTCTTGACATAAAAAAAACATCATTGGTTGAGCGTACTGACCCACAGGTTGGCTGGTGTGATTCCAGCTCCCACAGATGAATGCTGTTGTTGTGTCCTTGGACAAGACACTTAACCCACCTCGCCCCCAGTGTCTGCGTACACTGGTGTATGAATGAGTGAATTGGTGAGTGGTGCTTTGGAGTGCCTTGAAGGTGGTAAAGTGCTAAAGAAAAATGTGACTATTTACCAAGCCTCCACCAGAAAAGTTACATAGTACATCTTTAAATACAAGGTATCATCATAAATGGCACAGTTGCAGTGTAGAAGGACTAAACTGTCTTCATCAAATGTCTTGTGTTTTTGTAGCGAGAGGAGATAATTCATCCATAATCTACATCCTGAGTGGAGCGTTGGTGTTCTCCTCTGTCCTGCTTCTGTTCCTGGCTTTAATCATGTGGAGAATGAAGAGGAAATACTGCAGCTCCTCCACAGGTGACAAACCACCAACAATAAAAATGATAGAACTGCTAACCCAGTAAATTTACTACCATATTAAAGACCCATTTGACACTATTTTCAGATCTATGTTCCAATGTAGTTTCCTCGTCACAAACAGACCTGGAGCTGTGTTTTGTTTCATTCACATGCTGAACACACAAACCTGCACATTTAGAGTTCTTCTTTCAATCTGAAAACACAAAACATGTTCCACCTTGCGACGTGAAGTGCTTCACCGCGTTTTTAAACATGCACTTTCTGTGGCAATCTCAAGTGTAATGCATAAACTTACGTGTTCTATAACAATATCTCCAGATCTGCGTCGCTTCTTCTCTTTCCTTGAGCTCTGTTATTCCTCAAACACCTTCCCCAGATTGACGCAGGATGAGCCTGTGTCCGATTCATGTTTTCTTTTCCTTGTGTCCTCTTAGCTGGTTGTGCCATGACTGACACCTCACAAATAAACACTAGATATTTATTCTTGCAGTGATCTGTGGATAGCGCCAGTAAGGGGAGTGTCGTTCGTTCTGTTATCTGTGTGTGTTGAAACAACCACTTAACGAGATCAAAACACAACTCCAGGTCTGTTTTTGGCGACGTAACATTATGTCTTAAATCTCACAAGAGTCCACTTTGGATAATTTAGGATCTTTAAACCAGAGTTTATTCTGTGATACATATTTCCTCCTCGTGAGTTCCTTCTTGATTTATGCAGTGTCATGTCTTTAAAAATACTTGTAGCTGAGTCATTGATTTTGTGACACACTCTACATTTCAGAACTTAAATGGCAGTCCAGAACATTTCCAGATATGGATGCAGGGGTGAGTTGAGAAACTTTTTAATTATAATTTTTAGTAATCAGACTTTTTTAGTTCTTAAAATCATCTTTTATTTCTCGAAGATATTATTTGAAGACCAACATATTGTGCCTTATTGACTGTAAAGATCTTATATTGGAAATTCCAGGGCTGGAATTACCCAGATGATCCTAGTGAGGTGTATGGAGTTTATAAAACACAGTTCCGGTTTTCACCCAGACCTCATCTTTGTTCACTTCTCTGTGTGTGCAGTTGCAGTTACAAGCTGTTTTAGATCAATATTTCAGTTTGCAAAGGACAAAACGTGCAGTCATGATCAGTCTGTGTATGTTATTGTTATGTCAAGTTAAAATCACATCCCAGAAGAAAGCACAAGTTCTTTAAGTTTGAAATAACAATCATATCTCAGACTGGTTGGGGTTTGACTTGTTCTAACTCTTCTAGACATTTGTTCTTTGAAGCTCTTTGCAAACACACCATTAAAACCACTACAGACAACAAGAGCTTCTGAGGAAACAGACCACAAGAGTCTGTGTATAGATCATGTGACGTGAACGCTGAGACGAACAGTAACTGAGCGTCAGGTAGAAGAATGACACACATAGACACTCTTAATGTTTTAGAACAAAATATTTGAGGATATATGATCTGGTTTGTGCAAAAGACTTAGACACAAGGACCAATTTAAATTTAACTACAACTTTGTATTAAATCTTCTTCTTGTCAGGAGCAGGATGTGCACTCCCTCCATTACGCTGCTCTGAGCCTCCAGCCTTCGTCCAGGAGACAGAGAGTCAGCGCTCACACTGACTGTGTGTACTCTGATGTTCTCCCACACCACTGAACATGGACACAGCACCTTTAGCTCCTCATAAATGATTGGAGTTGGACGGATACTTGTGTTTTCTGCTGCAGATCATAAAGAAGATCAGTGAAACAAAAGCATCATCAGATCATCTGCTGCCATCAGGCTCACACAGTTTAACTGTAAAACAAACCCACACTTAAACCATTTACTCCTGTAGCTCTTACACAGTTAAACTCTGGGTTGGTTTTCTGTGCCTCATTCTGCGATGGGTTTGTTAAGTGTTGATTTCACCTGTGGGTCCAACCTGTCGTCTCACAACTGATTTCTATCTTTTTTGACAATATGTCTTAGTGCTGTGTTTCTTATTCATCCAAAAACAGACAATAATTGTATTGCTTTTTAAAAAATGATAGCATTGTATTTGTGAAAGAGTTCACTGTGTTTGTCATGCTTGTTGTGTGATTGTTGTGTTGAATTGTTTTTATTGTATTACGCTGCTCAAATGACTCACCCCTGGAGGGATTAATAAAGCTGTTTAAATCTGAATCAGAAAAATATCTTACAATATCTATTTTGACTTGTATTTGTTTCTTCGTGCATGTTTACGTGCTCTGGTATCGTTCTGCATTTGAGACGCGAGTGCTCAGGTTCCACCTCCCCCTTCCTCCTGCCCACAGACCCTGTGCACTGTGGCTCCTGGTAGAGGTTCCATCACCTGCTTGTCTCCAAGGAGAAGTTATTATGTTGCCTGGGATGTTCCAGGAATGAGTTTTTTGTATTATACAAAATTGACTCTCGTGAGCTTTAAGCCTTCTTAGAATCCTCATCGTTTTCAAGTGACCAGCTCCTTTTACCTGATGTTCAGTGGAACTTCAGACTGGCAATGGATGAAATTATCATCTAGTGAAGATCTGTGGAGTTTAAAAACACAGTAGAGCACTTCCTGTATTACCACATGACATCATAAGATGAAACAGACTGTTTTCAGTTTGAGAGAAGCACACAGCCTAAATCTGCAGAGTTTGTGTTTTCAACATAATACACAAGAATATAAATGTGTGAATGAAACAAATACAACTCCAGGTGTTAGATAAAACAAGAGAAGTAGAGCACTTCACTGGGTCTTAAAAGAGTAAAAAGTATCAGTAAAGGTGCTCTATGAGGGTTAAGACAGTGGCCTTAGAACAGAAAATTACCCTTATAGGAAAATGTAAAAATGGGTAAGGTACAAACCCGAGGCTCCGACTGAATATATTAAAAGTCCTTTATTACATGAAGGGACGCCAACACGTTTCGACCAGCAAGATGGTCTTCGTCAGGGCAAAGTAGTGCTTTGCGCTGACGAAGACCATCTTGCTTTTAATATATTCAGTCAGAGTGCCTCAGGTTTGTACCTTACCCATTTTTACATTTTCTTGTAAGGGTAATTTTCTGTTCTAAGACAACTCCAGGTGTGTTTATGATGTAGAAATGATATTCTAACAGAGATTTTTAATAATAGCATAATATGGATCCTGTATATCCATATATCATCTAACAAAACAAGAACATTCAGTGTGTCTCATTGATTTAGGTCATACTAAAATAAAGTTTACCATAACCTTTAAAGTTTTTTTTTTAAATGTTTGGTCGTTGCTCTTGTTTGTTGAAGTCCCCCCGTGCAGCTCTCTGCACACATCCTCTTACAAACCACGACACTCTACAGAAGCCTGGAGTTCAGAAGAAGACGACCACAAAGCAGTTATAAAAAGAACATCTCGTGTGAAGATTGAACCTGTCAGTAACCATCAGACATGTGGACTTCAACATGGACAGACTCACACAACATGGAGTCCAACACGCAGCTATTGTTTTGAACCTCATTTGATCTACTTTCCCACTGCCAAGCGTGGCGTTTTTTCTCATCTGAAATCTGTGGGTGTTACTTGACAATTTCTGTCCATAGATTATTTTGTTTTAAAGCTGTAAACATGTAAGACGACTGCTTATAGGAGCTGGGAAGTTGTTCAAATTAAATACCTTAAACACATTTTAACATCTTTTTAAACTTTTGATATTTATTGAAACACAAACCCAAACATGGAATCAAATACAAATTAAAATCACAAGGAGCTGAAAAGCAAAAACTCAAAAGCCAAAATTGTACTTTTTTTTTTCTTCTTCTTACCATTACTTACTACTTGGGATCTAAATGTTTATCCAAATCCCTCAATACAATATTTTCACGATACGCATCTCACGGTTCGATATTCATTGCGATATTTTGTGGAGGTTTACAAAATTGTGACTGTGCTTTTTCCTTTAGTGCTGTTATAATATGAAGAAAATCGATGTAAAAGTGCTTAATAACAGTTCATTCTTCATGTAGTTTGCACTGACAACACCAGAGGATCATGGTCTATGTAGTTCACTCTGTTTTTAGCTCCTGCTGCTCCAAGTTTATTTAAGAAAGACTTTATAATCACCATAACTGTTCATTTACACAGAGACTCGTGATTGGATATACTCTGAGGGCCGCTGATATTATTGCAAGACTTTTGACGACACGATATCTCGATTATCGTTACATACCTACTTACGACTTACTTTGGTGAAATCGAAGCTGTGGTAAAAAAAAAATGCCAGAGTTTTACACTGGTTAAGTTGAAAAAAAAAAAGTACAAAAAATACGACAAAATTGAAAACGATCAACAAAGAAAATTCCATCCACAATGCAGGAACAATTTACAAGCAAGGAAGGTATTTTACTCCGTGTATCATTCATTCAGTTTTTCAAAATAAAACCAAAAATAATAAAATGAAAAAATAACTATTTTCTTCTTTATTTGTGTTCAAAACCAAAATGAGAAAAAAGGATAACGATTCGTTTTTTTCTGTTTTCGATTTTGTGTTTAAATGAATAATGGAAAAAACGGATAACGGCCGTTTCATGTTTCCGTGACTTAAATTGCAATGCCGGACCAAACCAGGACGAAACCAAGACTAAACCAGGTCTAAACCAGAACTGAACCAGGACTATACTGGTCTGGTCCCGGTCTCAGCCCTGATCATCCGACAGTCTACGCGGGCGCACCTCCAGGCCCGTCCCGATACTCCTGGTTTGGTCCTTGTTTAGGACTGAGACCAGGACCAGACCGAGACCAGGAGCAAGACTGAGACCGAAACTGAGACCGGGACCAGATCAGGACCAGACCAGGGCTGAGACCGAGACTAAGACCGGGACCAGATCAGGACCAGACCAGGGCTGAGACTGGGACTAAGACAGGGACCAGAACCAGGATTGAGACTGGTTTGGACCTGGTTTAGAGCTGGTCTAGACCTGTTTTAGTCCTGGTTCAGTACTGGTTCAGTTCGGCATCGCAGTTTAAGTCACGTAAACGGGAAACGGTCGTTATCCATTTTTTTCCATTATTCCTTTAAACACAAAATTGAAAACTGTTTTCGGAGACAAATAATGAAAAAAAATGTTTTTTCGTTTTTTTATTTTTGGTTTTATATTGAAAAACAAATGAACGAATGATACACAGATTCGTTACAACAGAATTGACGTGCCACAGAATAAACACAGAGGAAATAAGAGTGTGTTTGGTGCAGTCATGTGGCGCCCTCTACTGGTGCACCTCAGAATACACACACTCGCTCCAGGTGTCGTCCCTCTGCACTCGGAAGCTTCTAGATCTTTTGGGCTGAGTCTGAAATGTTCAAAATAAATGAATGAGAAATGAATTTACATAAAAGAGCTTTTGAAACTATTGTGAATGACAAATGTGTTAAATTACAAAATCTTACCCGTGATTTGACAGAAGCTGATCCTGTACCTTATAAAAGATGAAACACAATAATGGTAATAAAATAAAATAAAAAAGCAGATTTATATGGCTATATTATATACCTTTTTTTAAATTTTAGTAGGTTAAATGTGTATTGAAAATATTTTTGGTTATGCATTTCTTAAGTGTTTTTGTACTATAAAACTGAACTGGAACCACAAACATGCTCAGTTCTGTTAATCATAGATATATTCATCCTAGAGTTTGTTACTATCAGGCAATTCAATGTTTCAAATTAGATGAAGACATATTTTGAACCTAATATATACAACATATATGTAATGGGACAATACATATTTTGCCCAAATATACAGAGTTCAGGGCCTTTAATGTTTGTTTAGCAGCTTTTATTTGACTGTGATGTGGTGATGTTGTGGTGTTGTGTTTGAGTTCAGACCTCGTCCATGGGCCTGACTCGACTCGGCCAGTCTGAGAGCAGAGACACAGAGGAGCACGGCCAACATGATGTTGAACGCCAAAGCTGCACTCAGCATGTACACCTCTACTGGAGTCTGGGTTTCTGTTCAAACATTATTTGATGATCTTTAATACATGTGGCAGAGATGGAAGACGAGCACAACTCTGTACTGTGGGTCTCTTAAAGGAACTGTACGCAGCCTGGACTAGACTGAAAACAGAACTACAGCTGAACCTGGGTTGCCAGCACCTTAACTTATTTATTTTTTCTGATTCTCACTATATGGACAGACCTCGTTTGAAAGCTCATAACCTCCAGAATTCCCTCTCTGAGCTGCAGAGGTTGCACTAGCACTCCTGTGTGATTGGCTGCAGGTTCTGGGGTTTAGGTAGTGACGAAACTGGCAATCCAAATAAGAGCCTTGAGTGAGGATCATTCTGCTTTCTGGTTCTGGAATAACCATAATTTGTGTCCAATGTTTCAACATTACTTGTATACCTGGCTTTGTTTCATTCACATGTACACGACGAGTCTAGTCTACTAGTCTACACACACTACTAGTCAAAAGTTTGCACACAAATACTCACTCAATTACTTCTCAAAACATATTTACTACTCTGTATATTTTATGCACATAAGGAAGACACCAAATATGATATATATGAATATATGAATTTAATCTTACCGTACAATTTCAGGTTTGTCCCATTTCCAAACAGGACTTGTCCACAGGCGACCACAGCGCAGTAGTAGGTCCCAGTCTGCTCTGAGTTCACGTTGTGTATGGGCAGGTTGTAGACACAGGACTTGGTTGGACTTTTTCCATTTTTCTTGCACTGATCATCTCTGCTCCCTCCTCCTCCGTGGCTGTAAAGGACTCCTGCATGTCTGTCTTCTCTTGCTCTGAACCAGTAAACATTCCGCTGTCCATCGCAGTTTGTCAAATTCACCAAACACTGAAGATTCACGTTACTTCCTGGTTGAATCGTCTCTTGCAACTCATCTTGTCGATCCTTTTGCATTTCTACCGTCAAATCTGCACTTATCACAACCACCATGACTCTGACTTCGAAGGTAAATATGTGTGAATACTTGCTGATGCAGTAATAGGTCGCAGAGTCGGACATACGTAAATCCGAGATGGTGAGGTGATTCTGGAAGTTCCCGTTTTTGATAGAAAGTCTGGGATCGTTCTGGAAGTCGCCAATAAAAGTGCTGTTTTTCTCACGTTTGTAAAAGCGGGACACGACGATAGGTTTTTGGCCTAAGATTTGCTTGTACCAGTAAAACATGACAGCTACGCTACTTGGACTGAAAGAGCACTCCAATGTTACGCTGTCCCCAATATTTACAACAGGTGAAATTTAAAGAGGTTGCATAGTTTGGTGCTGGTGGATGTGCTGCAAAATGAACAATTATAGTTAAACAAATGTGTCTAGAACATGCGAAAAATGATAAAAATGTCAAAGCCACAACTTACCCAGAGCCCACAAGAATAAACAGCACAGAGCTAAAGTAGGCCACCTCATTTTGCAGACCTGGACGGAGCAGTTTTGAGTTCATCTCAGCACATTCTCTCCTTTTCAAGGCACTGCCTTGTTTGATTGGCCAATCATGTTTTGTCTGTAGATGTTTCAATTAAATGTGCAAAGTAGTGAGAACTTTTACTTGTGCTTCATGATAGGAACAACAAAATGTGCTATTTGCTTATTGTATCCATCTACAATGAAAGTACAATCTTACAAAAAGGCAGAGAAAATCACAAAATACAAAGATCTGGAAATTGAAATCAGGCACATGTGGAGCACAACAATTTTCACACATATAGAAGAATATTTTACCTACAAAACAAGGAGATTATCCTGAAAAAGTGGCAGACAGGTTGTCTTTGCTTTTATAACTTTGGTTGAGTGCTGAGTGTCCCGAGGAGAGGGCTCCAGCTGCTCAGAGACCATGCTGGGTGCTGCTGCTCCTGGACTATAGAGAACATAATACACACAGGTGTAGCAAATCCAAATAGCAGAAGACAGGACTATTTACCACTGTTGCTACATGCTTTTTACCGAAACCTGGCTGGACTGCACCACTCCAGATGCTGCTACTCAGCTAGCGGGATGCACGGCCTACTGAGTCGACAGGAGTGTGGAGTCTGGTAAGAAGACCAGCGGAGGACTGTGCATCTACATTAACAACTCCTGGTGTGCCAATGTAACCGTAGTGAGTAAAATGTGCAGCTCAGAGGTGGAAGTCATGTTGCTGAAGTGCAGATCATTGTATCTCCCCAGAAGGTTCACTGTCGTTTACATCTGAGCTGTTTATACCTCACCAGACGCTCATGCTAAGCTAGCATTAGCCCAGATCCATGGCATCATAAACAAAAGCTTTGTTGTGCATCCAGACAGTGTTTTATTGCAGCTAGGGACTTCAATCATGTTTTTAAATTCCATCGTAATGTGAAATGGGCTACTAAGAGAGAAATAACTCTGAACCAGGCGTACACAAATGTAGCAGATGCATGTAGAGCCCAAGTCAACCCCCACTTGGGTTTGTTGAACCATCTTTCATGCTGCTACATTCACGATATAGACCTAAGATCAAGAGCGCGTGGACTAGGGTTGCCAACCGTCCCTTGAAAAATGGAATCGTCCCGTATTACGAAACAAAAGTACGCGTCCCGTATTGAACTGAAAAGGGACGCACTTTGTCCCGTATTACCATGAGAATCAGAAATAGTGTGTAATCAATGGAATGGCGCTTGCACGGCCGCGTGCTCTGAGTCTCCGCAAGCTCCAAGTTCCGCCCTGGCTGTGGGCTCCGAACTCTGGTTCTCGAGTCTTTCTCTTCTCCTTCTTTCAGATGTCTCAGAGGTGTCCAAATAGAGGCGTCCAGCGCATTTTTTGGGAGGAGTCACTGATTTACCCAGATACCATTGGAAAAACATGTATTGGTCCATTTCCATTCCATTATATTAACCCTTTGTATCCCAAGAAATATCAGTCCAAGTTTACAACAATGATCTAGAAATTATTTCTACTGTAGTGTAGTAGAATAAAAAAAATATATATATTTATATATATTAGTAGCACAAAAATTTATTCAACTTTTTCTAGGGCCTTCACTGAAAACCTTGAAGATCCTGAGGGCTCTCCTCTGTAACAAAGCAGCATGGACGACAATTTACAATGTTCTGTTGAAATGGGCTGTCCCGTCGAAATGAGCTACCTGCAGCTTAATGTAGGTATTCTGCCACAAATCTAACACACACATGCTTACATGCTTAACAAAACATACAATAAAACCAATGCACTTTTAAAATGTGACTTGGTACTCCACTTCTGCCTAGGAAGTTCAAATCGACGGCATTTACAATGGAACAGCACTTGGGGGCTGTGCGCATGCGCAGTAGTGCTATGTAGCTCAAAACGACGGGTAGCTCAAATCAACAGGACACCGGCCCTGCCAATGAGGTGTCCCTTATTTATTTTTCAGGGAGTCGGCAACCCTAGCGGGGACTATGACCAAAACTGTGAGACTGTGCCAGAGGGCGCCACTTCTATGCTGCAGGACTGTTTCCAACACACAGACTGGGAAGTATTCAAAGAGCAGCACACGGCCACTCGTGAATCACAGAACGAATATACCATCACTGTCGTAAGTAACCTCAATTTCTGTGTAGATACAGGTACTGGTACAGGGCAATGAAACCCGGAGAGCCTGAAGCATATAGCAGAGCCAGGACTGCATTGAGACATTAATATTGCCAAACAACAGCACAGGAGGCATATTGAAGCCCATTTTAACAACTCTATAAACCCAAGACAGGTATGGGGGGGCATCAGGGCCATTACAGACTATAAGAGCAAATCAACATCTCCTTCAGCTGATGCCACCCGTGCTGAGGATTTGAATCTCTTTTATGCCCGCCTTGACAGGGAAAATACAGACCCTGCATAGCCCCATAACCCCAGGAAAGCAGCCTGTCTGGACGGTGTGGCGGGCCATGTGCTAAATGACTGTGCAGGAGAGTCATCAGACGTCTTCACCTTCATCTACAACACATCGCTCTCTACATCATGGGTCCCCGCCTGTTTCAAGGCAGCCATAATAGTCCCCATTCCCAAATAATCAAATGTCACAACTGTCAGATTGAGTCAAACATCCTTCTGCCGACTTTGTGTTTTGGTGGACCCCTTTATGCGACTGGCAGAAACACCTGTCCACACACAAGTGTTTTTTGGTGTACCATTTATTTTAAGTGTGTGTGTGTGTGTTTAATAGTTTTTGGAGTGTGAGTTGCAAAGTCCATGGCAGTGCCCATGATGCCAATGTACTGAGGATGTCTGATCTATATAGGCAGACTCACAGACTGCCTAAGGTTGGTCCTACAGCAACTCTTAAGTTTTAATGTTAATGAAGATGTCATGTTTCAATTCCCTAGTCTATTGTTCAGAGAGTGGTGGATGTAGACGGTGTTGGGGTCAACTTCTACATAATTGGTGACCCTGCATACCCTCTGTTGGATTGGCTTCTGAAAGGCTACACCCATGTCGAGATGGCATTTGGGAGGTTGAAGGCAAGGTGGCGGATATTGTTGAAGAGAAACGATCTCCACTATAGATTCTGCCCATATCTGGTAATCACATATTGTATCCTGCACAATTTCTTTGGAAGGGAAAAGTAGCCAAGAAACCCAAGATGGATGCAAGAGGCAGCACAGATTGAAGTTCAGTTCCCTGAGCCTGGTAATGCCCCAATAAATAATGCCAATGCAAACAGGCAATAATAGGTTAACAATCTAGCATATTAATTCTAGCTTTGATGGCAGGCAAAACATGTTAATTAGGGAAAAAAAACATGTCAATATGACTTATCCTCAACTGTCCTCATGGGCTTGAGCTCAGAACTTAATTCAGCTTCAAATAATTTAAGTGATCAAATTTTATGTACACATAGGAAAAATGCTACTAAAATAATGTGTGTAAATAGTAACTAGTTCTGTTTATTTTTCAGGCATAGCAACTTGTACTTATACTTGTGTGTATTGTATGATGACTTTGAATATTGTTATTACTGTAATTGTATTGTAATTATAACACTATATATATATATATATATATATATATATATATATATATATATATATATATATATATATATATATATATATATATATATATATATATATATATCATTATAATCAGTTTTCTTATGTAATGAACAAAAACATTCAATAAACACATCAAATAAGAATCGTAAAACCTTACGACTTACTTTGTGTTTGAGGCTGAGAGTGCTCTTCTTCTGGTGGTGCATGGTTTTCTTCTGCAGCTGTGGGAGCAGTGGGTGCTGTGGGTGCTGTGGGTGCTGTATTGTCATGCCAATCTATAAGAGATATTCCATTATGATAAAGAGCATTATAGTATTACAATTTAGTGTTGTTCTCACACACCTTCATCGTTTGCTCCATCCAGGCCATTGTTATTGTCTGCAGAATTGAAAACATGAATTAGCTCAACTGAATATCTTTGACATATGATAGAGAAGCACATGGAAGGGGCACATCAAACAAACCTTTTTTAGCATAATTTCTCTCCATCTACAGACAAAAACAAAAATTACAAATGAGTGAATTCAGGATAACTTTTACCAAACCATTAAGCGTAAATTACCTGTGTGGCCATCAAAGCCAATATCGACTCCTTCTTCAGTGGTGGAAGCTAGTGGACGGTGGCCGAGGAGATCGTCTAGAATTTTAAAGAACTTAAAAGTGGCTGGACTGGATCCACTTTTGTTGTTATTATGTTATGCCTGATAGTATGGTTTCTTTAAAATCTTCCAACGACAACGCACCTGTTCAACGGTACGAAAAGGAACTCCTGTCAATCGGTCCACCACCCTTCTAAATAAATCTGCATTACGATGTTTTCTCCCATCCAATTGGTTAAGAATATTTAAGTCTTTCAGTGCTAAAATACAAAATTCAGTTTCTTCTACTTGCCGCTGCCATGTTTGTTTATCTTTTGGACACATGTGCACTCAGCTTCACATTGCAGTAACCGGGATACTGTGGCATGTACACACAGTATCCCGGTTACTATTGGAATATAGTAGCTACAGTATCCCAGTTTCTAATAACCGGGATACTGCCATAACCGGGATACTGAAACGATACTGTGTTTACATGCACCATGAAGAAACCGGAATACTCAAAAAACCCAATCATAACCGGGACACTGATGTGCATGTATACACACTCAGTAACCGAAATATTGTGATGTCGTATTGAATTACAAGTCTCTTTGCTTAAATGAAGAGTTTTGGTGCAGCAATAGCTAAAAAATAAATAAAAAAAAAAAAAAAAAGACCATAGACCATGATCCTTCGCTCCATTTCAGTGCAGACTACAAGAAGAAATAACAGTTCTAATACTTTTAAGTCTTAGTTCTTTGAATTAAGTCTTGTCAGGGCATTTTAAGAGGAAAAAGAAGCATATTAACACAAAATATCACAATAAATATCGTACTGTGAAATGTGTATCATAAAAATATTGTACCAAGAGATTT